ATATATATGTGTGTGTGTGTGTGTGTGTGTGTGACCTTGTTTTTAACCCAAGAGTCTGAAGCTTATACAGACAGCACAACAGTAAGACCTTGGAGTGATGAATGTTGTCATCTTTCTACAGAACTTCAAGAGAGAAGAGCAGAACTTTGTGGTCCAGAATGAAATCAACAACATGTCCTTCCTCATCACTGACACCAAGTGTAAGATGTCCAAGGTATGGACACATGGATAGAAGGGATGAATCAAGGTTTACATGTCAGAAGTTTGTTGCTTGTCACTTCTGTGTTGTGTCAGTGCACATTTAAAGGAATAGTTCACCCTCCAAATGACTAATGGTATATCAATTCCTCACTCTGTGTTACATTAAATTCTGGAAGAAACCCTTATTTTTCTTGCATGCCTCCATGGTGAATGAAGAAATCAAAAATTCTTGATGGATTGAAGTCCTACAAGTCCATGTTTAACAACAGAGAAACTATATCAAAACATCAGTTTACAAACTCTTAAATAACTGGTGTAATATAATCCATTGTCTTTATCCAGTCCTATGCTCAGCACCTCCCAAACACATGCATGTTTGCTAAAACTTTACTCTTAAAAACTAAACTGAAAGTAAAATTTGTCTGTGCTTTCTTCAAAGCCAGACTCCATTGACAAAAGCAGTAATTTAAACACAGGAGCCGCTGGACTAATGCTGCCTCAATCAGTTAGTTTGTTTGTGTTGTTGTGTGACTTTGGTGTTTTAAAGGGTTTGTTCAGATTCACCAAATTCACACAATAAAGCAAACACAAACTGATGGAGGCAGTGGTAGTCCAGCAGCTCAGCTTGGCAAGGTAAAATTACAGTTTTTGTCAATGGAGTCTGGCTTTGAGGAAAGCATAGATAAGTTTTACTTTCTATTCAGTTCCCCATCAGAAAGGACTGTCTGTTTGGGAAGTACTTAGCATAAATCTGGAAAAATGAGACTTTGATTATACTGCACCACTTGTGTGAGAGTTTGTAAACTGGTGTTTTGGTATATTGCTGTTGTTACATGTGGACCCTATGACTTCAATTCATCAATAATTTTCTCAGTTTTTGGATTCTTTGCTCACACTGTAGGGCTGGGCAATATGGACAAAAATTAATATCTCTGTATTTACAGGCTGTCTGGCGATACACAGTATATATCTCGGTATTTTCTATGAAATGGAACCATGTTTTCAGTTGCAAGTCAAAGCCACATTTGAGATGTCACAAGCAGTATCATAAAAATAGACTGTTATCAAAATAAAATGCAAAAACAGTGATTCCCCTGTTTGAAAATATGCAGCTGCACAACAGTTCTCCTTTCTCAACAGCTCCAAAACACTAGTTGGAGGTGGGGTTTCAGTGAAGTGCTGTAAAGTTTAGTTTATTATACATTAAACATGGGCTAATAGCGACAATGTCAAACATGATCAAATTTCAAACAAATGATATACAAATGGTTATTTGGGGGGTGAAGTATATGAACATAATGGAAAAGATAACACAACACTTAATAGACCAGTGTGCATTTATTGTCTTCTGATGTTTGACTTTGTCTCAGGGAATAGTGTCCGACCAGGAGAGGAAGAAGATGAAGCGGAAGGGGGATCGATACTCGATGCAGACAAGTCTTATAGTTGCCACTCTGAAGCGCCTGCTGCCTGTTGGACTCAACATTTGCGCCCCCGGAGAGCAAGAGCTCATCGCACTGGCCAAGAACCGCTTTACCCAGGTAGGAAAACATCACTTGTCTACTAGACTGTGAAAATTGCTGTTTTTTTCTGATATGTATGGGACAAGGGGCTGTATGAGTTTGAGTTGATGAAATTATACAACTTCATAGATTAATAAGAACATCCCTCACATTTACTTTAGGTCAAATAGTTCAAGTTACATCATACCACCAACACATACATGTTTAATTTGCCATATGTATTTTTTGCTTATGATTTCATTACAATTGTTTTATGTCATTCAAGGCCTATTATTTAATGGTTGGCTTTGTGTCACAAAAAATCATGCATTTTCTCTGTTCACAGAAAGATACGGAGGAAGAAGTTCGAGAGATCATCAGGAATAATCTCCATTTACAGGGAAAGGTGGGAATACTTTAAGCTTGAGAATTAAGAGTGTATGTACTGCAAGTAGATATATATATTTGGGATCAACTGAACTTAACTCTATGCTTTATATTACACGAGAGAAATAAAAATGTTTTATAGTGGATAGACTAAATGGTAACAGCTACAATATTTGTAGCTCAAATCCACCACATATAATTGATCTAAAAGTTCATAGTGGTCCACATCTTTGACACACATTGTAATGCATGTGTTTGTGACTGTATGTATGTCTTGCACAGCTGGAGGACCCAGCTATTCGTTGGCAGATGGCTCTGTACAGAGACCTCCCCAATCACTATGAGGACACCTCTGACCCAGAGAAGACTGTGGAGAGAGTCCTGGAGATCGCTCATGTCCTCTTCCACCTAGACCAGGTGTTTGTGTGTGTGTGTGTGTGTGTGTGTTATTAGAAGAATAAAAGATGACCCAGGTCAGAAGACATTTGCAACATTGCATTTCAATAATTGGAACTACCCATATAATATCTACAGCTCTATATAATCACGTTTGGGTTGATGAACTATATATTTGTGCTCCTCTTGCAGCCACCTCTTAGGGAAACTTTAATAATGATAAGGTCCTCTAAGGCCAAAAATAGACAAAAGCATGTCTGATGGTGAGCTGTGTCAGGAGAAAGGCTGCCATAGTTATTGGTTGAGTTTGTGTGTTTAGGTTGAACATCCTCAGCGCAGTAAGAAGGCTGTGTGGCACAAACTGCTGTCCAAACAGAGGAAGAGAGCAGTAGTTGCTTGCTTCAGGATGGCGCCACTCTATAACTTGCCCAGGTACAGTTACGTATGTAGTTATTTAGTTAACGCACTCATACACTAGGGTCTGGCAGTTGAACAAAATAGATCGGCAACAGGCAGTTGGCCAAATTCATCGCCATTTGTTTTATATATTCTCTTTTAACACGGCTACTGTTTTCTTCATTCCAAGAACAATGTAACCTTTTATTCTGTGTGCACAAAAACAGTCTGTGATAGTCTGTCCTTTTAAGTGGGGGCAACTCATTAAACTCAAAATAACTGGACAGAACACACATGTCAGCACTGGTTGTTGGGCTGACGGTGGCCGGCTGGAAATATTTAAAAAATCCCGCAATCCTAATATACAGAGTGTGCATGTGTGTAAACTGTAGGTCTGGTCTATCTTGTGAGGAAGTTTTTATTCTTACCCATTTTCCCCCAAACTAGGCATCGGGCTGTAAACCTGTTCCTACAGGGCTATGAGAAGTCCTGGATTGAGGCAGAGGAACATTACTTTGAAGATAAACTCATAGAGGACCTCGCTGTAAGTTAATTTTAATACAAATGTAGGACAAATTGCATTATTTCGACCCCTGGCAGAATTTCTTCTACTCTGAGGCTATTGAAGGCTATTCTCAGTGTATCGTAATGTCGCCTGTGATTGATAATGTGTTTTTATCTCAGAAACCAGGAGACCAGGAGCCATCTGAGGAAGAGGAGGGGGTGAAACACATTGATCCGTTGCATCAGCTCATTCAGCTGTTCAGCAGAACAGCCCTCACAGAGAAGTGGTGGGTTCCCATGTATATATGTGTAAGGTACAAGGTTCTACCAAGTGTTTCTGTTCCAGCATTAGTTACAGTTAATATGTTAACAGTTACATATCTTGTAAAAGAAGGGCTGTCTTTATCTGGCCAAGTCAAGCTATGCATTTACTGGTGTTTTATCCTTGCCACCACCTGAAAAAAGCATCTGGATCAGTCTGACTGTTGACTGATGTTCAACTCCCTTCAACAGTCACGTGTTTATCTCTCTAGTCTTTGCTGTTTCACATCAGGTGGGTACAGTGTGCCGCACAGGGAGAGGTTGCTCATTGATTGTTTTCAGCCAGCATTGATTCAAAAACATTAGCTCAAAATAGCTAAAAGCTGTTTGCAGCACTGCTTGATTCTTAGTTGGATCAACAGTTCCAGTACCTTGCATAGCCATATAGTCATATGTTGCATAAAAAAGCTTAAGGGACATTTCTCCAAAATCAAAAATATTTTATGCCTCCATGCTGTCAACAGCTGTGGCATTATGTTTTCAGGCTGTCCATTTGTTTCATTCTGGTGAACACAATATCTCAAGAACACCCTAAAGGAATTTCTTAAAATTTGCACAAACGTCCCCGTAGACCCAGCGATGAACTGATCAGACACTGTAACCTCACAAAACATTTTTTTTGGCCATAACTGAAGAATTCACACACAAATTATGACAAATTTTACAAAAAAATACTAAGGGTTAGGGTAAAGATGTGTGTGAAGCATTCATGTTTTTACAGACATGGATATAAATTGTAAGTGCAACTTGACTGGAGGCATACAATTGCAAGGCGGTAGCTCTAGTCCCTCTTACCTATAGTGTTAATTATCAGTCTAGATTAAAAAATGAGAAACTCAGCAGCAATGTCTCTTTCCAGAAGTCATGATGCAGTTACTTAAGATAATTCACAAACCTTGTTGTGAGCAGATTCATGTTGATACTATTTTCTTTCTATTGAACTACACCTGTTACCGTATCACTGCACAGAATGATGCGTGCATCCAATGCTAGCTCACTAAGCACCACTGAGCTAGCTAACGTTACAGCTCAGCCAAGGACGCAATTAGGGGCCATACACATGCCACCTTTTTTGCACCCTCAGATTCATTGTTTTCAATGTAGACACATAGCAGACGTGCTCAAACATCAGAGCGTTGCCGTCGCAGCATGCATGCATTCCCAAGCACCTATTTTTCAGGGCGCAACAGCTCAACTCGACTGATAAATAGCACTACAGGTAAGGGGGAAAATATGTATAGTTTTATTTTAGGGTTAACTCTCCTTTTAAAAGCAGCTACATAATAAAACCTGTTAAGTTATGTGTGCCAAGTATTTGTAGCCAATCAACTTGTGCTAATGTGTGTGCTTGTATTTCCTGTTGCAGTAAACTGGATGAGGATAATCTCTACATGGCCTATGCTGACATCATGGCTAAGGTACCAGCTGCTTAATACTAGTACTAGAAACCTTTTCATTACTAAGAATCAGAATCTGGTGTATTGCCAAGTAGGTTTTCACATACTAGTAATTTGTTTAGGTGGTTTGATGCATAACAATAAAGAGAAAAGTAAAGAAGTACCAGTCCATATCCATTAGTAGCTTTGTCACCTTCTACCTATGCCAATCCTCAATGCCTATGTGCAGTTTCACATAGATTGACCACGTCAGTGTGTAGAAAAATGTGGGACAGACAGAATGACTGACTGACAGAATGACACACTGACAGTTTCCGTGATAATGTACAGCATACCATACCAAGACTTAGTCATACCAAAAATTAGAAAAAAAAAACAAACATTAGGCCACGGGGGAGCCACAGCGATCGGTCACATTTTAGCCATTTTTAAGCATTTTTCTGTTGTTAAATTTCTCCAGTCACCTTGAGGCGTCCTGTTCTACATATCTACCAAGTTTGGTAAAAATCGATATGGCAGTTAGGCCTAGATAAGAAATTAGCTCTCTAGCGCCCCCATTGTGTTTGATGGGGTCAATAATGGAGGGGTCCCCTCAGATTATGTGTGGTCATATGCCTACAAAGTTGCGTGGTGATGGGTGAAACCCTTGAGATGTTATACACCTTTACATGATGAGCCACGCCCTCCGCAATATTCATTGCCTTATAGAAGCTCAGTTTTAGTAAGTTTTCCAACTTTTGCCAAGAGGGAACTTTAGATATTGGTTCCTAGATTATGTTCACCGAGTTTCATGCAGATCGGTCAAACTTCCTAGGAAGAGATCAATTTTAAGTGTTTTTCAAAAAATTCAAAATGGCGGAAAATCTATATAACCGGGAATTATGGGTTCTTGAGGTATTTGTTCCTCATGAGGAGAGGCATCTCTGTGCAAAGTTTCATGTCTCTACGACATACGGGGAATGAGATATGCCCATTCAAAGTTTGCAATTTCAGTTGGTTGCTATAGCGCCCCCCTTTGGCCAATTGATGGATTGATTGCTTCATTCACATCCTCCCATGACCCTCTACCACTGTGCCAAATTTCACATGGATTGACCAAGTCAGTGAGGAGAAAAATGTAGAACAGACACACCCACACACAGACAGAGTTTTCGTCATTATATAGTAAGAAGATAGTAAGAGAAAAGTCAAGAAACATAAATATGGAGATAGAAAAATATACAGTAAGGATATTTTAAAAATACTCCACAAAATAGGAACATTATCTGTTTTGCAAGATATCATCCCTTTGCTGTCCACATTTAACTCTCATCTTTCCTCCCTCAGAGTTGCCATGATGAAGAAGATGAGGATGGAGAGGAAGTGAAGAGTTTTGAAGTAGGTGATCAGTCATTCTCCATGTCTGTCTGTCAGTCTCCATGATGGTTTTTTGTTGTGAACATGTATATGTGCATACACAACATGTATCTTGTTTCACATAAATAGGAGAAGGAGATGGAGAAGCAGAAGCTGTTGTATCAGCAGGCTCGGTTGCATGACCGTGGAGCTGCTGAGATGGTGCTTCAAACCATCAGCGCTAGCAAAGGTTGGTTATACCTACTGAATATTGATCTTATTGATAATTTTTGTGGATTTTGCTATCCATTCATTCTTTGGATGAACTGTACAGCACTTTGGTCAACCGAGGTTGTTTTTAAATGTGCTATATAAATAAATTTTGACTTGACTTGACTTTGACTTGAATGTCCCGTATCCCACTATAAGTGCCATATACTGTAACACTGCAAGATGATGATGAATGTGCTGTATAGTCACTTTCAGTGCTCAGGTTTATGCATGTAAACTGTAAACATAAACTGTAAAAAAAATAATGGATGTAGCCACCATGATGTCACCTATTGGTTTGTGGGTTCTGGTTTTGAGCCCTGAGTTTGGCATTGTGGCTGTCACCATTTTGGATTTTTGTAGCCAGAAGTGACCATAGCTGTGTTCGAAACCGTCCACTCACTCACTCACTCACTCACTCACTCACTATTCCCTATTTCGTGTTTACTATATAGTGCACTACATGGGGAACGACTGAACGAGATTTCGGACACTTGACTGAAATTTTCTGAACGTCGTTGCGTCAGTAGCTGCGCCGCATACTTATGTGACGCAAGTGGATGCGCCGAGCATCATGTAAACAAACCGGGCGCTTCGAGGATGACCAAACTGTATGGTGGTTGTACTTTTTGTCAATAAATTGTTGAAATGTCAATGGTGTGGACGTTTGGTTTTGTCAGCTACGGTTGTGTGTCTGCATTGTGAGCTGTAATAGCCCACGATAGTGCATGAGCTACAAGCTACCTGGCTCGTGCGAGCTAAGTGGCTATTGTTAGCTCGTGAGCTAACGTTACCGGCTAGCATCCTATTCGTTTCTTTTCTTTTTGTGCCATCTTTGCGGTTGTTCTTCTTCTTCTCCTCTGGCAAAAGACGACTGCATTGGACTGTGGTACACGGGAGTAAAATGTAGGGTACATCGTTTGTTCACTCACATTTGCTGTGCATTGTGGGTATTTTATAGTCCACTATATAGTGAATGAAATTAACCGCGAAGAATTCGAACAACACTACAAAATGGAGAACACAGCTCATATTTGGATGAGCGAGTAGAGTTAACCCTAATGCTAGCTGCTAGCTTAGTAGCACAGTGCATTTACAGCTCTTGTTAACTCTGATAATGCTAATGCTAAATTTGGCTAGTGAAAAACAGACAAACCATTAACACAATATGTACTTTCTGGAAAAACTTGTCTTAAAATACAATCAAACACTGAACATGACTTTTTTAGGCAATTGTGTTCTTTGTTTATATTAACGTAGAGACTATAATGTGTGTTAGATCGGTTCCCTTCTGTATCGAGGCAGGGAAAATCATCATAATGTAATCATAATGTATGTATGAGTATATGTCTATGGTCTTGCACTAACAAACTAATCCTGAGCAATGCCAAAGTTACAGTGGCCGGACATCTTCATATGTCTCAGTATCCATATGGAGGAATAACTCAAGACATACAAATCTCTTGATGCATACAGTTTTGTGCTTTGCAGTCACATCCAGAATGTTTATTACCAAGATTTTTGGTTAGGAAAAACAGTTTTATTCCCTATAGCTTATTTCAAAATTCATGACAACTGTAGGGGGGTGAATTTTTATATAACTCACCCATTTATATTTTATTAAGGCTTAAAGTTATGCAAAATGGCCAAAATGCCAAATCTGAGGCTTCAAAGCAGGTGTCTAAAAAGCAGTGGGTAACAGGTGACATTCATATACAGTCTATAGTATTCAATTAAAAGTTAAAGTGCACTGATTCATTGTTGGGTGAGACATGGACTTTTGAATGGCCCTGGCAGATAAAGGGCTAATTAGTTTCCTCTGTGTGTGTGGTTCCTTTTCACAGGTGAGATGGGTCCTATGGTGGCCTCTACTCTGAAGCTGGGCATAGCTATTCTTAATGGAGGAAACTCTACTGTACAGCAGGTATTTCACTGTTCAGTCACTTCTTTTTCTATCATACACATTTATTGTGATTTTATATTTGTTACTGTTTGCAATGTATTTAAAAAAAAACCCTACACACTCAGTGGTCATCTTATTAGGTACACCTGTAAATTTGTAAATCCAAAACAGCTGTTCTACTATAGTTTTTATATCCATGATATCAAAAACTGTTAATAAAATTATGTGTTTCAGCAAAATTATGTGTTTCAGTATTGAGCTCATAGTAAGCGATGATGTTATACTGGACTGTATTCCTAATACTCTGCCACCCTTGTGTGTGTAAATACAACCTTTAAACACCACCTTAAAATATGACCTTTATAATGAACATATAATTGAATGTAAATACTTTTGACAATGTCAACAAAAACAGAGTATTTTGAGCTTCGTAAAGGTCGATGCAATGGCAGGGCGGTTGTGTTGGACCACAGCAGCAGGAACATGTGAATGAAATATGCAGACCAAGCAGTATTCTTGTGAAGTGTATTGTTTGTTTAGACTCCCTCAGAGGTGCTGTTCTTCATGAGAGATTAAGACCATAGTGTATTCATATTATCATGTCCACCTCCTGAACTTGTTTTAAAGCAGAATGTGGTCTCAAATTTATAATACAGCTGTTCCATTGTTCTCTGTGGTCTCTCTCCATCTCTTGGACAGAAAATGTTGGATTATCTGAAAGACAAAAAGGATGTGGGCTTTTTTCAGAGTCTGGCTGGTCTGATGCAGTCATGCAGGTAACTCTACAAACTCTTCCTGCTTCAAGACTGAAACAAATACCACAGGTGGGTTGGTTGATGGGTTCTGACTGTGTGGTGTTTGACAGGCTCAATCCAAGAGCAGTCAACCGTGTTTAACTCAAGGGTGCTTAATAACTAAATGTAAAAGAAACAAAGTAATGGCCAATAATGAGGGTCAGATTCCTTGAGCTCTTCATGGACCTTCTCCTTTGTATCCATGTTTCAATTCATACTGTGAGGCAACCCCTCCCCAAAGAAGGGCAGGAGAGTTCTCTCTCTCTACATGAGGTGGGCATAGATGTGTTGTCTCTTGGAGCTAGATCAAATAAAAGATTTAGGGATGCACAATATGGATTATTTCTAGCCGATACCCATAATTACCTGCCTCTCATTGCAAATTCAGATAAGTTAGCCAATTATTCATATTTCTGTATTTTAAAAAGAAGTTTATAATCTGCAGTATTTAAATGTTTCAACATAATCTGTCAAAACAGACATGTTAATGTGTTATGCACAAGTAATGAAAACAAAATAAAGCCTCGACGCCTCCCCACGGAGACACTGGGAGACTTCCTCTGTGGTGGTGTGAGCTCTGGGCCAGGGAAAGTTTGTGTAAGTGTGCCTGCTCACACACAGTGTCAGAGTTAACTGTAGCATGACACGCCTAAGAAAAGCACTCGGAGAGCGCAGTCCTCCGCCCAGCAGCTCGGATTTCCCGCCATTTTATTATTTTATCCACTTCATTTCAACCGATTATCACCAAAATTTTATCATCTGTTCCTTGTCCCATTATCAACCTTTCCTGAAAATTTCATCAAAATCCGTTCAGAACTTTTTGAGCTGTTTTGCAGACAAACAAACAGACAAACAGACCAACGCCGGCGAAAACATAACCTCCTTGGCGGTGGATTAATGGGTTTAACAACAAAGTCAAGCCTTTATGGTGTGAGCTTGTTGGGACCATTTAAAGGCTCAGTGTTGGATTTGAGCCGCTGCTGCCCTGCTAACAGGGCAGATGTTGAACTGATCCTTCACTGGGAGGACAGCAGCTCCGGATACGGTCCTTCAACACAGTGTCTAACCTGTTAAACAGCAGCAGGAATTTTGCAGATTTGGTGGGGAATCCGGTGGTCAGGGATGAGACCCCAGGATGCAATCATGTTGTCCTCCTCTGAAACTGAAAAAATGGATCTCTAGTCAGCGTGCTGCGCAAGCTTTTTTTTTTTCTTACTTTCTGTGTTTATTGGCAGGGTGTATACCACCACCTAACGTGTCAGGGTGTGTAGATGCTACCTTTGTAACTTTAATGAAAGCAGTTTGGCTTTGTATCATTAGCCATAAGCCATTAGCAATAATTTCATCATTAGAATATTACATAATGATAAAAATTTCCCATTATCGGCCCGATACATCATGCATCCCGAGAAAGATTCATAATTGATATGTTATTTGCTAGCCTAATTCTTATACAAGTAATGTTCATAATGGCTTTTTTTTTTAAAGATATTTTTCTGGGCATTTTTAAGCCTTTAATTGATAGGACAGATGAGCGTGAAGGGGGAGAGAGAGAGGGGGAGTGACATGCAGCAAAGGGCCACAGGCTGGAGTTGAACCCGGGCCGCTGCGGCAACAGCCTTGTACACAGGGTGCCTGCTCTACCACTGAGCCACCGACGCCCCAATATTCATAATGGCTTAAATAAACTATCAGTATACTATACTATTATATTTTGTGTGAAAGGCATTAAAGGCCCATTTCATGTTGATGACTGTCCCAAATATACACCAGTTGAGTCCAGTGACTGAAGCAAACAAACGTTGAGGCTATTAATTGAAATTTGCACAGCTGATTAGACCGTTCAGCAGTTGGAGCTGCAGCAGTGGCTGTGATACACAGCTCATGGAGGCAATCCAGGTACTTAAACACAATGAAGGCCAGATTGTGTCAAAATTGCACCTCTTCTCTGAGTCCTGATGTGGTGAAATCTGAGCACAAAAACATGTGTCTAGATTCAGTCTGTCTCGTACTTTATGGGGATATTATTAGTTTGTCCATTGTGAATGAATCTCAATAAATCTGTTTACATAACTAACCTGAGAAACTTAACATTATTTTTAGTTTTTTTATATGTCTCTGCGCCTGGGATAGCCGTGGCCAGAGCCTTTATGTTTTTCGCATTGTCTGTCCGTCCGTACATACCGTTCTTGTGAATGTTATATCTCAAGAATGCCTTGAGGGAATTTGTTGCAAATTTGGCACAACTGTTCACTTGGACACAAGGATAAACTGATTAGATTTTGGTAGGTCGGGGTCACTGTGACCTCATCCATCTCATTCTGGTGAATGTGATATTTCAAGAACACCTTTATGGGGGCAACCTCTAGCTCACCTGGTAGAGTGTGTGCCCAATACAGGCTGAGGCCTTTGTAGTCAATTCTGACCTGAAGCCCTTTGCTGCGTGTCATCCCCTCTCTCTCGTCCACCTTTCCTATCTTAAGCTGTGTTATTTTATTAAAGGGAAAATGCCTAAAAAATAATCTTCAAAAAATACACCTTTATGGAATTTCTTCATAGTCGGCACATACGGTCAATGGACTCAAGGATGAACTGAATAGATTTTGGTGGTCAAAGGGCAAGGTCACTGTGACCTCGCAAAACATGTTTTAGCTAAAACTCAAGAATTCATACATTAATTATGACAAAATTTCACAGAAATGTCTAATAGGATAAAATTTTGAAGTGATGATGTTTTATTTCCAAAAGGTCAAAGGTCACCTTCATTTTGAGATGTTATTGTTCTTGAAAAATACTTGTCTGGCCATTACTCGACTTCATAACTCAGGAGCAGAAGGGGAGACATTTGGTCAGATGGTGAATTGGTGACACTAATCTTGAGTGTCCACCTTGAAACTGTGCTGATTCCAGTTTCTTAAATGTGAGCATTTCCTGGTTTCTTTACTCCTCTGTGACAGAAAACTGATTATCTTTGGGTTATGGACAAAAGAAGATATTAAAGGATGTCATCTTGGGCTTTGTGAAACAATGATTGACATTTTTTAAAATTTTCTGACATTTTATAGACCAAAAAACTGATCGATAAATTAAGACAGTAATGTATAGGTTGTGGCCCCACTGGGTACATTGCAAACTGGAACTGCCAGTTGTTAATTTGGCATACTTTAATTGTTTGTAACAATAGGGCTCAAGGCCCACAGCGTAATTCACTGAATCCATGTCAACATTACAATTCCTGTTTACATCATCCAAGGCACTGTGGGAAATTAGGGCATGATTATCCCCCAAACAGAAATAAAACATCAGGACTTCCTTAAATAAGTAAGTGTCAGACACTATAATGATCTTACAGTGTTGTGTCTTTGACCATCCCTGACTATCTTGGTGCAGTTAAAATTTTCTTTAGCTATTCTTTTTATCAGTAAAGGCAAGGTCAATGTGATTAGAATGCAGTATTTTTTGTAAAATTTGGCAAAAACTTTGGTAGCTACAGATCATCAGAGAAGACTTTTTTTCACATTAAAATGTAAATTGCAGCCTTCAGATGGTACTTTGGACAAAGGTGTATTCAGGGCAGTGCTCAGCCACTGGTCAAGTTTGCAGGGGGGAGGAAGGTCAGCAAAGAGAGGATAAAATTACAATACTGTTCTGGCAGCTTAGCTGCCTGGACCCTAATAAGAGATTCACAATTTGTCTTTGTTTCAGTGTTCTGGATCTAAATGCATTTGAGCGGCAGAACAAAGCAGAAGGTCTGGGGATGGTGACAGAGGAAGGATCAGGTAAGCCTCCCCATAGTATGTTAACACCTCATTGGTTTATATTTTTGAATGGTTATAGCAATAGAAGGAAAAGCTTTTTTTCTAATTTACAGATAATTGGTAGATATTAAAATGCTTTTCTTCACCAGGTGCAGGTAAAATTCATAAATGTCACTTCAGTTAACTTAAGGATGGTACATTTAAAGCTACCTATAAAAACCCAGAGGCCACTTGGTTTCATAGAGGAATGATAAGCAAAAACCCCCAACTGAAAATATCATTGTTGAGATTTTTAAAGCGTTAACATTCCAAAACATGTTATTTTTAATACATGAAGGTTATTTTTTTACCCTCTAGATCATCATTCTTTATTTTGCTTTGTCCCACTTACCCTGTCATCACTTTGGTTGAGCGATTTGTTGATTTTCACCAAGTGGTAATGCAGTACTACCCGTTTTTCATATGCATTATCAAGTATGATTTCCTAGTGTACATGTGTATGTGCCTTTGATTTGCCTGTTACATCTTCTGTGTGTATACATGTGTTACAAATGTTGACAATCATCCTTTAGATCGCATACTGGTACTTTTAGAATTCAAATCTCAAATTCTCAAATCAAAATCCTCCTCTGTTTTACTATTTTGTAGTACTAGTCTTTAAAATACAGTCATGACCAGCAAACTGACCACTGGATAATAATAGGTAATTATGAGGTATTGATATTGCATTATTTGGTGCAGAAGTTGTTATCATGTTACAATAGGTGCAGCGATTATATAGGAGTTTGTTTTAAGTAATTTCTGGTTTAAAAAAGGCAAAGTTATTGTAGTTATTCTGGAACAGTAATGACATTTCTGACTTCCTTTCACTCTTTCCTCTCACCTCACGTATACATGAAGATTTTAATCTCCACTTTAGGACAGCATGGGGTCCCTTCATGTGTACTTACATTGATTATAGAACAAATCATCCATATTGTATAAAATAATTTCCTTGGGTGCTTAAATGCTTAAAATGACTCACTGTATCTTAGCATTATCCTGACAAGCACCCCTTGGCAGTTGTGCATTTACTGTAATGACTGTTTCCTCTGACGTAGCAAAGATGGGAGCAGGGTGATGTTATCATACCACCATTAAACCTGTAAGGGAAGAGGTCATTTTTAATTGCTGGGAGCACAAACTTTTTAGGCATGAGGACTTTCAAGTATATTAAGTTCAAAACAGGACCACATAAGCTTTTGTATAAGCAGCTTATTATGACCCATATCTATGTTTGTTAGGCGGCAACCTCCATAGGCTGTATAATTATGAAAGGAGCAAAGGCTGGGGTGTGGTTTCGAAGTAAAAAAATTGCTATCAGAAATAATTAATGATTATTAAAAATGATTATTTATTATATTAAATAATATTATTTAATTTACATTAAATCACCAACTGGGAAACAAACTTCAGAAAAAGGGAAATGGCAGCTAATTAATTATCTCAGGCTCATAAAATATACTAAACTATTTATGTTGAACTTTGATTAATAATTAAGATAACAACTACAACCAATATAACCATATCATTAGTAAAGACTGGAGGATTTGGAGTTCTTGACACAGCAGAAGTAGGCAGCATTCAGTCTGTAATATTAAACAGACAGCATGTGTATTCCTAAAAAACATTTATTAAAAAACAAAGCAAAAGGTAAAACACATAACACATACAAAACAAATGTATACTAAACTAAATAAACCTAACTAACAGAGAGTAAGTGTGAGTGTGGCTGGGGGGTTGAGACCAAGGCTGTGTGGCCTACAAAACGAAGTAGCTGACTAGTTGAAAACTGAAAAGATGGCCAGATGATCGGTCAGATGAAAAATAGAATCAAGGAAATGTATGATAGGAAACTTTGGGTTTCCTCTGTGTGTGTTAGACTATGACTAAAAGCCGAATTACAGAATATGTGCGTGGTCTGTGTAGAATATAGATGCGGGTTAATACAAAGGATGTTTCGTTGCATGGAAGACCCTGGGTCCATGTGAAGCATAAGTTTGATAACATCAGCTTAGCTTTGGCAAAGCAGGTACCCATTAACATGACTACAAAATGGTAGAGTAAATAATATAATAACATAAAATGAACAGTGAACTCAGTGAACACAGTTAGATCAAATCAATGACTTAACATATATATTGACAAAAGGTACACAGTGTTGTGCTTAGCTGTGTAAAGTTGTACTACTGCTATGCTTAGTAGTTACATTCCCAGTACATGAATTTAGGGGGGGGGGGGGGGGAACTGCTGTTTTGGTGTGATACTTTATTAGCAGACGATCTTGTCCATTGTGAATGAGCAATGCTTTGAAGCTTTGTTGCTCCTTGTTGCTCGTAAAGTTAGCCTACAGACTTAGCTGTAGTGGCTGGCGCCAACCTGTCTAGTGTCAGGTCCTACTAAGAATTGTGTGTCTGCTTTTAGCAGGTCATGTGGTGATCGGGGAGCCATGGTGGAGAGTCTTTTCTGCTGCTCTGGCAGAAGAGAGGTGAGGAAAAAGTGGCGGAGGGGCAGGCAGGTCCTCCTGCAGTAGTTACCCTTTTTTGGGAGGGCCATGGAGAAAAACAAGCATTAAACAAAGAAGCTGAGGTATTGTTGGCCTCATGATGTTGTGGATCACATGACACAGTGACCAATGGTGATTGAACTTGGCTCCATAGGCAGGGTTTCACATAGTGGTGTGAAAATCTGGAGGGCCATGGGAAACTGAGTTTGACTGCTGTTCTTTGTCTATAGAAAAAAAAGACTTTAGAAGCCATGTTGAGTGAGCTGTGGTTACATTTAATGCCTGTTTAAGCTACACAAATCAACAACTTACCTGTGGGGTCCAGCAGATCAACAGATGTAGTGTAATGAGCGACAAAGCCTGTGAGGGGCAAAGGTTGGGGTGGACGGAGGGGGCCAAACAAACACAGGACTCCAGTGCTGAGTTATTTTAACATAGCTGCATATGTACATACATAAGTTATGGGGTAACTTCTGTATGTTTTTTGCCTGCCTGCCAGTGACAGCCATGACCAGAGGCATTGTGTTTTCAGGTTGTCCGTCCATCCGTCCCACTCTCGTGAATGCAATATTTCAAGACCTCCCTGAGGGAATTTCTCTGAATTTGGTTAACCTGGACTCAGCAATGAAATGATAAGAATGGTGTTCAAAGGTCAAGGTCACTGTGACCCTGTTTTTGGCCATAACTCAAGAATTCATCTGCTAAATATGACAAAATTTCACACATATCTCTAATAGAATAAAATGAAGTGATGAAGGTTAGGGGACACGTTTGGTCAGATACTGAATTGGTGACACTCATCTTGGTTGTCCACCCTGAAGCTTTGTTGATTGTATAGATCTTCTGAGCTGCTGGAATAAAGATGTATGTGAAGTATCCATGTTTTAGATTATGTAGCTTCTTTGCAGCAACATCCATATTTAATGAATTGTCAACTGTCATGGCTACAAATAAGTCTGGACAGACATGAATGTAAACTGTAACTGTGACTTAACTGGTTTGCGAACGCATACAACTGCGAGGCAGTTATTTCAGTTCAACAAGGACCCTGTTTTGCCATGTTTTTGTGTCAGTTTTTGAAATTGGTCATGAATTGCATGAGAGTGCTGCAGCTGGCAACGGTGAAACAGGCTGCAATGTAACCACCCAGGCCATGAGCGCACCGTCAATTTATGTTCAATAGAAGTGCTTGTTTTTGCCACTGACAGGCTCAGATTGTTAAGTGTGTAACAACATTATGGAAATCATGCTGACAGAGATGGACCATCTGTTTAAGAGTAAGATCCTTTTTGTTTAACCAGAAACAGCCCCGAAATCACCATCGCAAAACCCACCACTCTCTATTTCAATAAACAGTCATTTAAGTGTGTATCGAGAGCAAGCATATGTTTCACATCTAACTTGGACAACTATGAGTTTATTGCAAACAAATAACAATTGGAGATTGTTGGAACAATGAAAAGACGATCCAAGATGGCTTTTATGATTTGTTTCTGTTGACTTTGAATGAAGTGTGTTTTACGCTGATAAAATTACAAAGTTACCCTTTAAGTTATGTAACAAACATATTTATTTGAACCAAAACCATGAGTACATTTATATGGACCCTATTCCACTTCTTATCAGAATAATAGCCCAATCAGGATAAAAAAATCTCATGTAACTACCTCAGTTAGAAGAGACTGGCCAGATCCAGCCTGGTCAAACGGAATTTTTAACTGAGCTAAAAGGGTTGGTGTAAACCTTTGTTAATCCATGCAATAGGAAAACATGGGCACCTAATAACCATGTAAATGCTTAATCCTGTAATTTCCCTCTGATTAAAATAGATATATTCTTGCTGCGTATATTGCCCCACATGGAGGTAACATTAGATGACAGAGAGGGTACATGCACCGGACACAAAAGCTGTTTCTCTGAGCTTTCATCTGCTAATTTTGACAGAGGTTTTCATGAATTTAAAAAAATGTAGCGCTCAGCTAGAGGTACATTTCTATGTGAGTGCTCTGATTAATAAATGTATTTAGATTTTGAAACAATGAGCAGAACCACTTTGCACAAGTCAAAAAAGTTATATTCTGAGTGCATGCTTTGGCGCATGTAAACACTGGGTCATTTTATTTAGCGTCCATGTAAACAGTTAAGTTGGTATTTCTAATCAGAATAATTTCAGTCAGATTGAAGAAATATTGTAGTTCATGATCTTTTTTTCTAAAACCAAACCAAGTAGTGTCATTGCTTAAACCTTAAACATTAACCATGTGTCTAAAACTTCTGATTAGGTATGAGGACATGTTGATGTCCTGCCACTGCTAGGGGTGGCATTTTAGAAAATACTCCTGTGGGTCATATTAGTGTGTAGGAACAAATGATCTATGTGGTGGTATGGGTTTGAGAACTTGTTGATAAACTTAGTTATAACCTAATAACTGAAGTATAACTTAGAGATATACTTTATATTCTCATTGGATAAATTCCTGATTTAATAAAGAAATGTTTAATTGACAGTCTTTGTTCATTTTATGTACCCTGGATTTTTTGTTGAAGTTTTAGACTACAGAGTCTCTGCACTAGTTGATTACTGGTTCTTAGTATTTAATAATTAGATAAGATAAAAAGATTATTAAAACTTTAGTTTAATGATTGCTACATAATATGAGGCAAAGTTTTCAAAACTATGAGGGACCTCCCCAGTGGGACACAGAGACCTGATGCAAAGACACTGTGAGGTGAAAGGGACAGCTAATGAGGTGTTCATCCAGTTGTACTGAATTATTGTACAGCAGGAGTTGTCATCTTTGTTTAGCCCTGTATGCAATGAATGAAGATATAACCCTTCCTAAACCAGTGATTACTTAAACTGACTTTGTATCAATCATTACTGCACCTATTATAGCATAAAGTCATGGCACAGCTGATAACGGGTTTATACTCATAATTTCCTCATCATTGTCTTGCAAACACAAAGTAATCACTCTAACCAGCTTTTTAAAAGGCCCTAATAACTAAGCAGGTTCACTTTGAGTGCCCGTCCACATTCAAAAAGAAAAAAAGAAAAAGGTCTTGATGTATACATTTTTTTAAAAATTTTCTTTAAGATGACTCACATTGAGTTTTACAGAGCTGTACAGGTTTTCTCTCAACACATTATTTTTTTCCCCATGTTGACCAAACAACTTAATTCGGAATTTTTAAAGCTCTTTTCCCTATATGTAATCTTTTTCTTTGTTTCTTTCTTTGTTTCTTACTTTCTTTCTCTCTTTCTTTCTTCCCCCTGTTTTCCTTTTCTCATTTTGGTTTACTGCACTTTCTTCCCTTCCTCAGTCATCACTCATGAGCGTGGTAATTATGCCTTCTGCCATTTCCTTGTGTGTTGGTTTGTCTCTCTCTCTCTCTTTCACAACGGTTGGTTAGTTGTTGTGTCAGTTCTGTCCAGGTCCTGAGTGTAGACCTTCAAACCTCGTCCTTACCTGCTCTGTGCTTATAGCTACTTCTCTGCCTTACCGTCACCATTCTAATCTCTTTTCTTCCCCTTTTTTATTTAACTAGGCCAATTATAACTCACTCTCTGGTTGGTTTTGTAGTTGGTCTTTTAATACTGTTTAAAGTCTTAGTCCACTTCTGAATTATGACGTAAAATGTGTCACATCTTCCTCTTTCATAATAAGCAAACAGATATTACGATGACTTCTTTTGGAATATACCATATAGATGTTAAGATTTAAAAATCCAGACATGTCCAGGCAGAAGTAAAAGTGTAGCTTGTGTCTCAACCTGCCGTCTAAAACAAAACCCATGTATGCCTTCCTCTCAGGATTTGTACAGTATCTGGCACATTCTAAATATTACTAATATTTACCATCCTCCACCCCACCCTCTCGGTCATGTAGTCAACCTCAAGTCAGCTGGTTGTTTTGTCTTAGTATTGGAGATGGTTATTGTGCTGGTTGTTATCTGTTGTGAAGTGTACAATCCCATCTGTGTTCTCGGCCTCTATCTCTGCCCTTTTCTGACTCACTCTCTTAGGGCTGCAATGAATACAAAAAGACCACAATAAGCCAACAAAAATGTTAGATCAAGTCTCCATTTAAGCTGCACTCTCTGCAGTATTGTGCATTTTAGTGTCTTTCAACTCATTGCTTTGGTTTTTACGGTCTGCAGCTTTACTGTTTTGGTTCGCCTTAGCACTCTCATCTACCTGCTTTCCAGTAGCAGCAGGCAGCTGTTTACAGTGGAAAAAGCTCTGATCAACACACTATACACTCTAGCAGCTAAAGCGCCATATATTTCCCTCAGGGGTTAAGGAGACCAAACCACAGCTAAAATCAGAGTAAATATTTGAGTTACAGTCCCATTTCTCATGAGTTTAATTAGGGTTCTAATACTATATTTTTTTCTCTGCACACAAAAGACTTACTCCTCTCATTGTTCACAGAATTGTTTAAATCAGTGTTAATGAGCAATTTGCCAACAGAGTCCAGAAACTATTCAACTGACAGGCATGACATATCAAGATGCTGTTTAAACAACATAATAATGATACAGGTGTGCCTTGGGATGGTCACACTAAAAAGCCACTCTAAAACGTGCAGTTTCATCACATTACACAATGCCACAAATGTCACAAGTTTTGGGGGAGCGTGCCATTGGCATGCTGACTGCAGGAATATCCACCAGAGCTATTGCCTGTTAACTGAATTAAATGTGAAAATTTGGCAGTAAATCCAACTGGTATTGTCACGGTACCAAAATTGGGACCCACGGTACGATTTGCCTTTTGTCATTTATAAAAAGATAAATCACTTTTCTATAATACATCAATGATATTTCAATGGAATAAATTGCTTATTGACTTATTCATACTTCAAAAACAGCATCAATAAGTGATTAACATAGGGGGGATCAAAATAAAATAAATAAATAAAATAAAAATCAACCAGCCACCCTCCTCCTTTGATAAGTAAAGAACAGTCCCTTAAGTGCGGTGAGGTTTGTGGACCGTTACCTGCCACAAAGAGAGAAATGTGAACGGCTTGTTTCTCCTCTGACACGTCACATACCTGTGTGCCTCCACAGCTCGACTGTTCAGGTACCTCTGGGCAGTCATGACACCAATGAAGAGGAAATTATTGGACCTAGAGCCGGGCTTCTCGGTCACCGGTAAACCGTTATCTTGCAGTGGCCGTAGCGCTCCGCTGTATTCCTGTCTGTGACCCCCGTTTAACCCACAACCGGCAGGATTTGCCTTTCGTTTCTGCTGCTGGTTGAAATCTGTACTCGCACAGCGTGCTCCTGAATGTTTTCTTTTGCTTACTGTAGCAATATAAACAAATCTAGCCTACAAGTAAAAAGAAATAAATAATAACTTTCACTGTTTAAAGATACTCAATAGCTCAGCTAATACCTGAAATGTCACTGGAAAACAAACCACTGCAGCAGCATATTGAGTGCCAGATGGCCAGCGTGCGCCGTTATTGGACACTCACCCTCTTGCGATTGGACTCTGAACTTATCCCACAGTAGTGGTACCGTGAGGTACTGTAGTACTACGGTACTCCAACATTATGGTATCATGTGTACCGTGGTGTTTAACTACTGCGGTCTATCGTTGGTACCAGAGGCCCATCTCTGTGGCTGCAGACCATCTTGCACGTGAAGAAGCCAGATGTGGAGGTCCTCGACTGGCCATCTAGATCAGTTGTATGTACTGCCAAATTCACAGAAACAACACTGGAGACGGTTTATGGTAGTGAATTAAAAAGGCAATTCACCATCCCAATGGCACGCTCCCTCAACATTTACAACATCTTTGGCATTATGTTGTGATAAACTGTACCTTTCAGATTGGCCTTTTATAGTGAACAGCCTAAGGTACATCTGTAGATGCTGTTTAATCAGCATCTAGATATGCCACACTGTCAGGTGGATGGATTATGAATTTTGTTGGTAAAGTGCTCACTAACACAAATTTAAAGAATTCATCAATAAGGTTCAAGAGAACTACACCAATTGTTTGCATAGAAAGAGTCTATTATCTTTTATTTCAGCTGATAAAAAATGGGAGCAATACAAGGTGTTGTGTTTATTTATTTATTGGTCATTGTACATTCATCTGGTGGACAAAAACACAACTGAATGCTGTAATTGGGAACTTTCTGTCAGCACACACAGTAAGTTTATGATGTAATGCAATGCCCGAATTATGTTACCTACCTAAAACTAGTGCAGTCTAATCCAACAGTCCAAATCCTCCCTTCACAAAGGTTATAATGTTCAGTTTATAATTGTTTTAGATAGGTGTTGGTTTTTGGAAGATGTAGTTTGTGGTGCTGTTAAACTGTCTTGCATTATATAGAGAGGTGTTATAGCCTCACTGATGTGAATGGGTGAACAAAATGATATAAATATAATTTATTTACTGTTACATTATAGTTGACCTTATGTTAGGTCGGACAAGAAGACAAAAGATGAGAACATTGAGCATTTGTACAAAGTGACATTTGACAAGTGTTTTTAACAGATTTCAGAACAGTGTAACTTTAAAAAAAGATTTTTAAGTAATGTATAGATACATCCACAAAAAAACAAAACAAAACAAAACAAAACAAAACAACAGAAAATAGAAATTGGCAATGGTTGCAGCCCTGCTTATTTTTCATCTCACCTTATCATCCGTTCTGTTTGGTCTATCCCTCCTCTTTTTCTTTGTAAGTGTTGCACTTTGGACTTTAAAATGGCTGTTTTTGGCCATGCTGCTCTGTGCGTGGAAGGGGTGTGAAATCTGATCTTTTTCTCCTTCCTTCCTTCCTACCTTCTTCTCTCTGTTTACTGGCTGAGCTGTGGTCTGTAGTCAGTGTACATGTCCTTCATGACTGTTTTGCTTAAGTGAAAAACATTAATTTGAATAACCTGTCCGTTTTATATGATTTTATGTTTTGACTTATTTTCACCCCAGTATTGTTTTTTAAATTCATGATTTGGTTGCAGTTGTAGTCGTGCATTATACTGTGTATAGTGTTATAACCTTACATATTGGACAGATAGACTAGAGGAAATTTTATGTGCATTTATTGTACACCACATCCTTAGCTTGCCATATTTTAGAATCCTATTTATAATCCTTGTTAAGATATTAAGAATAAAAAGTTTGTATGGTCTCATAATTTTTTTCAACTGTGAAAAATATATTCCCCTCATCTGGTTTACTGCTGTGTCGGGAATAAGCCTGAAAGTGCAGAAGAGAAGGATTTTAGGTTTACCTCTGAAAGGTCCCAGAAAACCAGCAGAGGGATGCAAATTCTAAATGCTCCTCAGAAGGAGCGAATTTGCAAATCCAAGGAGAGCAAAGGAATGGCCCACCTTAATCTGCCTCTGATTGTCTTACCCTGACATTCTAACCCTAACCAAACTCACTTCTCTTGCCTAAACCTAACCAATCCAACCAACGAAGCAACAAGCACTAGCCAGTCAGAGTGAGAGTAGGGAGGGTCATTTCTTTGCTCTACTAGGATTTGCAAATTTGCCAGAGGGGAGGCCCGGACAATTGTTAGCAGGGCAGGTGAGCTGCGATATTGTTTGGCAGTGGAAGGAACATTTTCAGGAACTTGTGGTTAAAAGCAACTCTCATTGTGTAAGTTTACTAGAAAGTTCATATGTTTTTGGGAGCTCAAGAATACTAAAATTGCTCCAATATGGCAATGGCAACATTTTGGATTTGAAGCCAAAGAAAGAGGTAACCCATTGGTTTGCAGTCAGCCGTTTCGAAGCCTTGAGTTTAGCGTTTTGGCTATCTTGGTTTTTGCAGCCGGAAGTGACTATACTTGGACCAGAGGCTGGAGCTGTGGAGGATCGAGGGGTGGATCTGACTCATAGACAATAGGTACCCCTCACAGATAGCCTAGTCACACATCACTTTGTCCAATGACAGAATAGAGCATTAGTGCACAGTCACCTAAACAACCACCACGTTCTGCACTGATGATGTAGTCCTTGTCAGGGGACGCATCAGGACAGCATCACCGTTTACAAAAGATGTGGTCAACTGTGTCCCAGACCACCTTGGCATGTGGTTTGAGTAATCAGCTCACAAATCTTTTTGGTGTCCATTTACGCGTGTATTTAGCACTGTCTAATTTTGATCTGATCACCTGAGACGCATGGTAATACGAGGTATAAACAGGGCCATAGAGACTCAAACTGTTTTCTGTACCAGGCTGTAAACATGTTTATTTATGCCAGCATTTTAACATGGGGGTCTATAGAGACTGTCACACTCTGGGAGTCAGCCTCAAGTGGCCATTCTATGAACTGCCACTTGGATATTTCCAGTAAATATCAAAATAAAAATTGTGGGTTTTCTGTTTAAGAAGTACAACGGTAGGAAGATAGAAAATACTCACCCACCTTACATCTCCAGTCTGATCTCGAGTGCACAGCTGATAGGTACGTGGTTTGTTTACATGACATAACAGGGGCATATTTATTGGATTTAGTGTGGACAGAGAGCTCCAATATTATGCGATGCAGCGAGATAGTCAGACACTTATTTGCTGTTGCTGTTATACTTGGGAGCAGCAGCTGAGTTAAGTGCGACACCTATTGGTAAAATTTGGTATACTGGTCCAGTAATTGGTGTAATATCAAACCGGTTTGGAAATTCTTACTTCAGCAAATGTCAGCACGAATTCAGACATTTTGTGCCATTAGTAAAGCTAAACCTCTGACATTCTAGTGGGGTGGGTCTTTAATATGTTGCACTTCCACTAAACTGCCTGCATTGAAAGGAAAAAGAAAACTGCACTTTCAGCCTTGTTTCAGACCTACAGATTTTCCTCCCCCAGCCCAGTCCAGTTTGTTGTCATATTGTATGGATGTGTTCTGTTAATGTTTCTATTATTGTATAGTGTCTCATCTTCACTTCTCTGCCCCTCTTTTCCTTTTGCATTCCTTGGTTTGAAGCAGCATTTTAGCACAGTCAGAGCAGCTGTCCCCAGTGTATTTGTAATCTATGCAGAATCTACAATGGCGAGCAGTAAGCAACACCTTTTTTTGTTTAATCAAAACTGCTTTGAGACAACATAAAAATAAACTAAACTCAGTCCTGACTGTAAAATGCTGCAGTTTAAAAACCAACCCACTTCAGTCCACCACCAAGTGCTGTGGCTGCCCACTGTTCATCCAAGAGTGTGTGTGTTTGTGCGTTAGGTCAGAATGGTGTATTATGACCCTACACCTTTCACTGACTAAAAGAAAACATGGGGGATTTCCTCGCATAGCACCATCTCTTTTTAATACTTCTTCACTCTCCATCTTCTTGTATGTCTATCCCTCTCCTATGTCGTCTGCTTCTGTCTCCCCTGTTCTCTGACTTTCTTTATGTGTTTGTGTGTCTGTTTATATGAATGTGTGTGCATTCATGTGTGTGTGTTTGCACTTGCCCGTGTTCTCGTGTGTACGTTTGTGCATACCTATGTATGTGCTCGTGCATATGTGTGTCTGCATGTGTGTGTGTGGGTGTCCGTGTGTGTGCATGTATGTGTATGGGTGTGTTTCTTCTCTCCGGCCAGGTGAGAAGGTCATGCAGGATGATGAGTTCACCTGTGACCTTTTCCGCTTCCTGCAGCTGCTCTGTGAAGGACACAACTCAGGTGTGTATGCAGGTTCTGTTATTCATTGAAAAAAACTGATGGAAAATTTGTTTCTTCAACCAACACGTCAAAACTTTTTTCAGTGTCTTTTTTAACCCACTGATTGATGCAGATTTACTAAGAAGATGATCCCTTATATTTTTGATTCTATAAGCTTTCCTCTGTGTGGATTTCATTCAGACGTCTGAGGCATTACATAAAATGTCATGCAATAATTTACAGAAATGTTACATCTACTTTATTGATTAATTTCCACACTTTTTACAAGCGCAAAATTGCAATCTTTTGCAATATCATGTTTCAGACTTCCAGAATTACTTGAGGACGCAAACAGGCAACAACACGACAGTCAACATCATAATCTCTACTGTCGACTACCTCCTCAGAGTACAGGTTAGCTCTTTTTGTTCACTCCTGCTACTTTCTAATATGAATGTATTTTCTAGGGGTGGAAATCACTAGTTTCATCACAATATGATATTGTATTGGTTATTGCCGACATCACAATGTCTGGCATGATACAATTTCACTTCAATTCAGGGGCCCCCTTTTTTACTTTTTGCCACCAAAAAAAAAAACAAAACAGTAATTTTAGATAATAGAAACTGGCTAAATGTTTTAATGTTTATTTTAAACTGATTCCACTAACATACACAAACAGCACATGGGATAAGTTCATCCTCAGGGCTTTCAGTCAGAAAGCCTCTCTTAAAAGCCCTTTCTGGAAGAAATCTTGTATTGCAACTGTTGGGATCTTATGGTTCAAAGTATCAAAATGGCAATCAGAAATAGAATCAGAATCAGAATTGGTAAAAATGATTAATTATGTCAAATAATGTGATTTAATTTACATTAAATCACTTTGTGTGGCACCATTCCCAAGAAGGAAAAAATGAGAGCCAATTAATGAAATCTGTTTCATAAAATACACTAAACAATCAATTTGGAACTCTGTTTAATAATTAAATTAATAACTATAACCAAACGAGAAACAAAACACACAAATCTTAACTGGTAGCTAAAGAGGTGTGTGTAGTTATGAGTATGAACACAAAGCCAAAGGCAAATGGCTGACAACAGGGGCTACAAAGGGGTTGGCCACATCAAAGATGGCTGCTGAGTTACAGACCTTGTTGTGAGCAGTTTCATGTAGGAACTATTTTCTTTCTACCAAACTACTGAGCTAACTAGGTTTGTGGGGGGATGGATTTTTGATTTAAGGGTAAACTGTTCTTTGGAGCAACACAGTTTATTGTTCCCTTTATTCTCCAAAGACATGGGATACAAAATAGTCAAACTGACAGTGTGTTGCTTGTTTTACTGGATAGAAAATCCCCTGGGCTAAAGCAACCCTGATGAAAAAAAAGGTAGTCAAAACAATTTTTTTAACAGGCTGACTTTTCTTTGTTTCTCTTTTGGTTGTTTTACTGAGATTGCTTTTTAAATGTAAATTACACTTTGATACATTCTGCTCCACATTGGTATACTGCTGCTTCTACTGCTACTGTTACCACTAATCTAGGGATTATCATAATCAAAACTGTTGAAACTCTGTCTTCAAATAATTTATTAATAGTTAATCTGTCTAATTTTTGTCTTCTTTTCTTCTCCTTGTCTGACTGCCCCTCCCCTGCTGCCTCCTGACCCTCCTCTAGGAGTCTATCAGTGATTTCTATTGGTATTATTCAGGGAAAGATGTAATTGATGAACAGGGCCAGAGGAATTTCTCCAAGGCAATTAATGTGGCCAAGCAGGTGTTCAATACACTCACAGAGTACATCCAGGTATGAGAAAAAACTGTATTTGTCATTGTTAATACTGTTATATATTGTAGAATGAACTAGTATTCTCAAATGTTGATGAAAAGGTCTTTAATAATCCAAAGTGAAGTTGTTTAAAAGTCATGATTAGTCATTATTTTTTTTTTTTTTACTTCAGATCATAATTTGGGGAAATGTTTAAAGTCACAGTTATAATAAGAAAATTATTATGTTAGCCATGACCATCTGTTTTTAAGTTGGATAAGAAATTAGTGATCCTACTTTGTAGGATAATGGGCAGCTCTAAAAAGCAACGTAACACTGATATTCTACAGTATCTGTAGGCTGTAACTGTGGCTCATTTGAATGTAGGAAAGCTGCTGAGTAAAGGTATTTGTTGGTTGTGATGTGATTGTGATTGTTGCTGATGATGTTATAGGGTCCGTGTACTGGCAACCAGCAGAGTCTGGCCCATAGTCGATTGTGGGACGCTGTGGTTGGGTTCCTGCATGTCTTCGCTCATATGCAGATGAAATTGTCTCAGGTGAGTTAAAGTCATTATGTCTTGCCAGTTCGATCCATGGACCCTCTCTTTACCCTTATTCCCTGATTTCACATTTCCACTGTAAACTAGTTAATAGAGGGCTGCATTTGCATCCTGTGGGTCCCAGCTACTCCTGATCTGTGTGTTAAAGTCTGTCTCTGTACCGGCCCTCTCTGTGTGTCTGTCATTCAGGCTGTGCATGAGAGCATGTGGCCTCACTTGCTTATTACACCCACGTTAGTTAAACCGCTTACGCCATAGGTTCCACCGCAGCTTACTCAGTCACTACTGTTGTTGGAAGTTAATTTACATGCAGAGAGTGAATGAATTTGAGTGCAGTGAATTAAAGATGTGGGGGAAAGGAAGAAGGACAGATGGCAGAATGAAAGGAGGAAACAAAAGAGGGAATGAAGACAGATTAATGCTGCTGCCCAACATTATTTTTATTTAGTTTGCATTCAGCTTTATAGCAGGTATTTTAGACATGAGGAACAAAATGATGTCACAGGAAGTGAAATCCATAGCTGATGATGATCACAGGCTCTAGTAGTTTCTGATAAATAACTGGATAGATAACTGGAAAACTGTTTTTATTGTTATGCTGAATGAGGACTTTGGATCAGAATGGATAGGAAGTTTTGTCGTTAGCAACCATAAAGCAGGTTGATCCTCACGATGTCCCAGTAGGACAAGCCCTGCCTCTGGCCAATCTGGACATTGGGGTCGGGGATGGGGGTGATGCTGTCCCTGCCGTACTGGATGGAAAAAGCTGTTCTTCCATAGTGCATGATGGAGGAGTAGTCGTAGGGAGTGTTCAGGTTGTTGGTGTTCTGCTTGTAGAAGTTGTAAGCCATCTGTGGGTTGATGTTCTCCCAGTTGATCCTGACATAGTAGTTGCGGTCACTCCTGGTCTGCTCGTGCTGGAAGCCCAGAGCGTGGTTGATCTCGTGCTGGATGATGCCGTGGTAGAGGCAGCCCTGCTTATTTTTAATTTTTTTTTTTAATTTTATATACTTTATTAATCCCCGAGGGGAAATTCAATTTTTCACTCTGTTGTCAATTACACACAGGTCTGAACACACACATGCACAAACTGGACCTATACATGCACTAAGTGGAGAGATGTCAGAGTGGGCTGCCCATGACAGCAGTTGAGCAGTTGGGGGGGTTCGGTGCCTTGCTCAGGGGCACCTCGGCAGTGCCCAGGAGGTGAACTGGCACCTCTCCAGCTACCAGTCCACGCTCCATATTTTTGGACCAGACGGGGACTTGAACAGGCGACCCTCCGGTTCCCAACCCAAGTCCCTATGGACTGAGCTACTGCCGCCCCCAAATTGAGAGAGAGCACCTGTCTGCCTCCCTGTCTGCCCAGAGCCGAGAAACATCCGGCTCTGTTCTCGATGCTGATGAAGTCGTACTCATTCTGACGGGGGACGAAGTGGAGGCAGGTGCTGCTGTGGAAGGCCTTCATGGCGTTGTTGATCTTCTGCCTCTCCCAGCTGGTGAACTCACTGCTCACGGTAGAAGGGGATCATCATCAGGCCGTTGGAGGCTTTCCTCCACAGGCAGTTCTGGGACCAGCACATTATGGCATTTCTTGATTTGGGAGCCAGCAAGTCTCCTTCCAGCAAGATCTCATCCGTGGCGTTGTTGGTTGTCAGGATCCTGGTGCTGATGTCGACAGTGCCTTCTTCGTCCACTTGGACCTCTGCTCCACTTTCTTCCTCTGTGAGAGAATGAGCCTGAGAGAGGCCGAGCAGAAGCAGCAGCAGCAGGCTGGCAGAGAGAGTCATCTTCAGGGTGGCTGTGGAGCTTCTGTGGAGAGTCTGCTGCAGAGAGACTCCTTGAAGCTCGATGTTTGACTCAGTTTAGTCCAGACTCTTTATACTCTCCTCTACAGGTGTTTCTGCAGGAGGATTATGGGTTGGGGTCCACACTGCTAGGCCTAAATAAATCTGTTCAGGGAGGACTCCACAGACAAACCTATTGTTTCACATGGTTTGTTAACTCTGGTCATTTGATGGATGAACACAGAGAGGTTACTGGGTGGGACATGATTGAGACAGACATCTTAAATTGTTTTCAACCAAAAAGACTACACATAGATGTGAAACCAACTTTTTATTTTATTTTCTTATTTTGCAAAGTGAGATAAGCAGAGCTGAACAATGACTTGATGATGTGGAAACTGTGTGTAGAAATGTTCTCAGCTGCACTGTACATCATTTGAAAAGCTTAACATCTCTTAATTTATAGTCTCAAAAACTTTGACACTACAAATAAGTAATTTTAGACAACTATAATTTGTACCTCAGTTTACTGTGAACTCTGATTGGTCGCACTGTTAAGAACAGAAAAATAACTTTATTAAAGCTTGAATTCTTTCTTAAAGGACAACTTTGGTATTTTTCAACCTGGGCTCTATTTCCCCATGTGTATGTGTGCGTATGATTCAGGGGTACCACTCGTTCTAAAATTGGTTCAGTATTGAGCCGCGAAACGAGCTAAAAAAGGTAATGGGGGCAAATGCATCCACTATAAAAGTGCTTTTTTCGCCACTGACCGGTTCAGATCGCCAGTGCTATCTCTGTAGATAGCATATTGTAGCGGCCCTGGGGCAGTGGTGAGTGTGAATGAGTAGAGTCAGCTGTCAGTCAGTGTTGGAGCAGAAAGGCGGAAGTTGTCCCCGCTTGGTAATGTAAATGAGTATGTGTGTTCCCCATGTGTATTTCACACACACAGATAACTGAGCCTCCTACCTGGCTGTCAAACAGCAAACCATAAACCTTCGCTAAACACTTTGAGTGGAGTCCTGAAAGGAACAGATGTGAAGTCTGGTGGCTGGTGGCTGCTTGCTCTGTTGCTGTTCAGTGGCTAACAAGCGGAGCTGTTTACAACTCCCGCAGCAACTAATAAACCCCACAAATCACACTGTCAGACACAGTCAGACACACACATGGCTGTTTATTTACTGCTGAATTACAGCTCACAACTCATGTTAACAGCTCACATTACTACGGTGTGCGTGTCATGAAGGCTAGCAAAATGTCCTGGCTGGACTATTTACTGGAGTTTACAGCCAGTGTAGAGGCGAAAATCGGTGCCTGGAATTGGGCCAGATGGCTCCCGACCTCGTCCTCTATCTTTCTCTTCAAATCGTCCACTGAGCTATTTCAGTATCTTGGGTTCGGTTGGTTGGTACTCAAAGAAACACTGGAGATCAATTGAATCCACCACAATCGAGTTTAATGTGTTCACAAGCTTGAACACATACAACTCATGAGTCAGGCTCCGGAGCAAGACTGAAGTTTCACTCTCTGAGCTCTCCCTTTTATGCTGGTGAAGATTCGAGAGAATCTCCACCCTTTTTCCTTGAATCCTTCCTACCCGAGCCCAAACCTATTGGTGGCAGGCCTTTTTGCTTTTGTTCCGAACATGCCCAGGCATGTCGTAATGGTGTAATCCTTTTCTTCAGGCCTGGAAATCCCCAAACTCTCCCACCATTAGGTTTGAACTCAGGTTCACACTATTTTTTAAAAATGTATGAAACTTGGGACTGTTTCTATCAGCCCCTTGTGCTTTCATGCAATATAAAAGCTCCAGCTTATTGCTTGAATTTGCCTGAGCGTGACTGATCACTGTGCAGCATCTTCAAGTTTTTTTTTCTGCGAGAAAATCTGCTGTCTCATGCTTGAAAATAAACCAAACTTTGCACAAAGATCCAGTGTCAATACTTCAGTGTGAAACCATCTGAGGCTTCTCACTTTGCACATGGCTCAACTAATTAAACATCAGTTTTTCACTTATGAAGCAAATCAATCATTGTTAAAATAAATTACCAACATCTCCATGCTGTCTAGATGCAATTTGTGTATTTTCAGATTTTTGTGTCGATAACTGATTTTTTTTACAGTGGTTTGAAATCTGCTTTTCCATGCATGGACGGCTGCTAAACCTGCACGTCTGGCTTAGTCAATTTGTGAAGCTACATATGAATTGTCACTGACTAATTAGCTCAGAGAGATAGAAATTGATTCTTAGTCTCAGAGGTTGTGAGTTCAAGCCTCAGCTGATGCAAAAGGCAGATTGTGTTGCTAAATTCCTAAATGTCTTCCAATTCTTCTGCTTGTTGCTCAGAATTTCCTAACTGCCCATACCTGACCCATTGCTGCACAGCAGCTATAATCTTCTTTTGATTTTTCAGCACCACTCTTACATTAAGCCCTGCTGATGCAACATCTTGGCATTGCTGCTGTAGTCTCTTTATTTTACAATGTAAACATCAGTCACATGTTTAAATGGACATTTAACCCAGGGCCAGTAGAAGTGCAGTGTGAATCACATAGCCCTAGGTTTAGGTACGTTTAAAAAAAAAATGGGGGGGGGGGGTGTAAAAAGGGCTTACAATAGACAGTGTGAAAAGTTATTTTTTTAGACTGATGACTTATGGAAAGCATGCCACTAATGTAATATCTTGATAAATATTAGCTAAATTGGTCAAATCCTCTAAAGAAAGTAGCTACGATAGAAATTGAGTTCTCTTTCCCCCTCTTTCTTTAACCATCTCTTTCTTTCTCTCCCTTTTTTACCTCAGGACTCCAGTCAGATTGAGTTACTGAAGGAACTAATGGATCTTCAGAAAGATATGGTGGTCATGCTGCTCTCTATGCTGGAGGGTAAGTTTGCTTCCATGAGTACTCCTGTACTAAATATTGAAGCAGTTGTGGCTTATTGACAGAGCTGACACCATGACAGAAACAGAAGATCATGAGCACAAGATCATGAGGTCATCACAAGGGTATTTGCCCAGTTTACTGAAATTTGTGAAATCAGTCTTGGCAGTGTTTTTGTAAGCCTCCCTCCACTCAAAAATATGTTTTTCTTCTATTTATGTCCCCTAAAATGTCTGACCACCTTACTGAATCTTGTATCTGTGCAAAGTTTGTCACCGGAGAATTGTTTCCACATTGCTTTACTGAAGGGGAGGATGTCTGTTCACTTCTTCAGAATATGACATTCAAACGCTAGATTACTAGATTACCAGATTGCTAGATTATTGCAGGTACATCACTGATACGAAAGCCAATGGCTGTGTAATACAGGAAACACATAAGGTCGGGGAAACAGTCTTTGACACACCTCCAGCACAGAGCAAACTGTCAGTACAGAAAGCAGAGTTAGCATTAGCGTAGTGAAAGTTTTGACCAAAGTGAACCCAATGTAACATCATGGCAGATATCGTATGTGTCACAACTAATGCTCTGTAAGCCACTACCAGTTAGCTACAAGCTAACAAGCAGCATACACAAATAAAAGGTGCAACTACACTTGACATTCTGATACATCTGGTAGTCTCTGATTTTGTTGTCCAACAGACTCCTCATCTGAGTCTGGCTGTGACTGTTTCCTCCAAGGCTGCTCTGTCACCAGTTAACCTAGTGCTAGTGTGCTTACATGTGTAACAAAACATCGATCTGGATTAATGTATCGATTAAATGATCAACGAGCCAATATCATCTTTGAAAAGTGAAAACATTGCTACATGTCGTCGTCTTTAAGATATACCTTTATGTTGAATTCCCATTGCACGTTTGTGTCACCATTTCCATCCAACTGCACCTCCTCCCTAAACACTGACAGTGCCAGCAGCATAGCACCAGGCAAATAATGGCAAGCAGCCAAGAAAAAGATAAGGGGGGGATTTCCTGATACTGTCTCATATAGATCACAGGCCCCTGAGTTAAATCGAATTAAAATCATTTGTGAAATTGAGACTTTGTGAAATCAGCAAATATTTTCCCAAGAATCCATAATATTGTATTATGATGAAACTTGTGATGACACCCTCAGTATCACTGTTTAAATGCTGGAGAAAGTGGAAACTGAAAGAGACACCTACTGCAAGCTGCAGTGGTGGGCAAGGGTGTAGGCTGGTTCCAGAATTTCTCATTGAGGGAGAAAGAGTAGATGTGCTTCCAGCTCCTTTTCAGAGTTTTTTTCTTTTCTTTTTATGTGGGAAAGCCATGTTAAAAAAATATGAATCATAGTAGAGTATTTTTATGTAAGTTTCTTTAATGCAGGGTTTACAATACACAATATCAGCCCGATTATAGCCCAACATTACGTCGTACGGTGTTGCCTCAGGTCGTGAACAACGAGTATCGTACAGGATAACCCATTGTTTCATATCGTGTGGTGTGTCATAGTGGACAACAACCGGCACAGTGTATGGGACACCTTACAGCGTCCCGACAGAAAGTCTAGCATGTTTGATTTTCTTTTTGTCGTTCACGACATCTCCCGTCACAGCCATCACTTTGACCAATAGAAACACAGAGAGATCTGCTGCCATGGACAACTGTATGTCAGCAACACTCCAGCCTTTTTGATATTTCCTTTAGGGACGTTACCACAACAGAGTAAAAAAGAAAAGTGATGGTGTAAAACAACAGAGGCACTTCAGCAACCCACTTAGTTCTGCCATTAGCATTAGGCTAGCAAAGAATATTATTTCTTCTTAGTGGAAAGGGATGTAAAGTAATACAATTCACAAATAGTGTTTGGGCTTTTATGTACCACAACTGCAGAGGATACCATCTTCATTTGAAACAGACTACATTAGAAACTGGTCTTTATTTCTCATTCCCTCTGTATTTTTCTATTTTTACTTTTAATCCGCTCCCATTTGCCTTGATAAAGTTAATGCATCACACCATAATTTTAAACTTAACACCTCTTGTATCTGTTTAAAATTAAAAGCCCCTTATAATTAATTAATTAATTAATTAATTAATTAATAATGTATAGTAAAAGACATTGCATTCCAAGGATAAATGAAACAATGATACTTCTTAAATTGATGTCATGCTTTGAATCATCTCATTAAGTACATCCTAAAATTTTGCCCACTACCATGCATTGTTCTGGATGGATGTCTTGTCGGACAAACTGAAACTTGTTCTGCTAAACTAGTGTGGTAGGTCACTGTTAATTCAGTTGACTGTCATGTTGTCAGTGTCCTACGACAAAATGAGCAGTGTCATAAGCAAACAGGCATCAAATATTGAGTTCTGAAAACATGATTAACCCAGTGAACTTTTTTCTGTTGAAAAGACGTTTAAAAAATGTCTGTGGTCACCAGTGAAAAAAGACATTCAGAACCAGTTCAAAAGTGAAAGTTTTAACACCGACTATTTAAAGTTGTTGATTGAACATTCACATTTAGAACATATTTCACCGGGATTTGCAATAAGGAGATTTTTCATCCTCTATAGTGTGCAAATAATACCCTATCATCATTTTGGGGCCTTACTAAGAAAGCACATCCAAATTTCTCAGTTGAAAATCAATATGAAATATGGTCTAAATGTAACTGTTCAATCAACATCTTAAAATAGTCTGTAAAAAGAACTTACTTTTTAACCTATTCTTTTCACCATCACCATTTTAAACACCTTTTAAACCTCAAAATGCTCATTGCAAACACTTTGATCAAGGTATTTTCTGCTGTGTATAGTTCAAAATCTGGCATGTTGTGGTGTCAAGGTACTTCTTTTATGGGAAATGTGTTGTCTCGTTTGGCAGGTAACGTGGTGAATGGCACCATTGGGAAGCAGATGGTGGACATGTTAGTAGAGTCCTCCAACAATGTGGAGATGATCCTCAAGTTTTTTGACATGTTCCTCAAGCTGAAAGACCTGACCTCTTCAGATGCCTTCAAGGAGTATGACCCTGATGGAAAAGGCAAGGCTCTAAAAACACATTTTCTTTAATCATGTTTGTCAGGGGGGAAGCATCAGAATTATATGAATGTACAGTGATTTCCAAAGTTACTTGGAGAAAGCTGATGATGATTTATAGATTTATGATTGAACTCACAGGTGTCATCTCCAAGAGGGACTTCCATAAGGCCATGGAGAGCCACAAACACTACACTCAGTCTGAGACAGAGTTCCTACTCTCGTGTGCTGAGACTGATGAGAATGAACTCCTGGACTATGAAGAATTTGTGGAGCGTTTTCATGAGCCAGCCAAGGTAACAACCTTAATGTTTATAGATCTTAAAGATCTCTAAGAAAGTCTTATAAGGCCTTATATTGTCCAACTATAAGCCCTTTAAATCAGTTATTAAAATCTATTCTTAGAGAATGGTTTCAACATCTCAGAGGGGGTTTAGTAGGAGAGCTCTCTGCTTATTTCTATTTCTATCTCTTTTTTTCTATCTCTTTGTTGGACTGGATAAAGGAGTTGAGGATATTTTTTCTAGCAATATCAGAGTAGAATCAGTAATTTGTAGAATTTTTGTATTTCTTCAGCCTGGGAACCAGACAAAGTGAGGTCATGTTTCAGTTGCTCTGGCAGATGCATCTGGTCCCCATCCCATTTAAACACTGGCCAGATCCTCGGCAGGTGAATCACAACTATCTATCTAATACTGATATAATGAGCCTCATTGGTCTCTGCTCTGTGCAGTGATATGCACCATGCTCACAAAACTCAGATCAAAGTGTCAAACAAGGCAGCGCTGATCAATTATGAATCAAGATTCTGTCTCTGCATTGTCTATTTCTCCCCTCAAATGTTTGCAGAAAAGGGTTTCATTGCTCTGATTGGTTGTAGGTCACATTTTGTTGCTCTGATTGGTCAGAAGTCTATTTTGGTTTTTGGTATTATGGTCTGTGCCTATTAATAAGGCCAAGAAATGCACTGAGAGGTCTGGTGATTCCAAGTTAGTATTTCTCACAAGTGTGGCACACACACTGTATGGGGAACCCAACATGGGGCATCCCTTGTTCTTGAGCTTCTGTATTGGCAGCTTAGTCAGACACTAATTAGCCCCTTTGTTTTGTTGGTTCTGGGGATCATACAATGGCTCTACTTGCTTGAATTACAGTAAGGTGGGATAAGAAAGGCTTAGTGTTGAATTAGTTTCTGAGCTCAACTGGGACAGCACTCATTATGGAGAGATTAACAACATACTGTAGTTTAGATTTATACTGCAACAACTTTTCAGTTTCTTGAATCACATCAGAATGCTTCAAGAGACCTCCTCCTACCTGCAGTGCTATTCATCTTTGTTTTGGTGTGAGTTGTTGAGTGTTTGCAATATCTACCATAGAGATGTCTGCCTTTTCTCCAGCATGATGGAGCAAGATGACACTCAGCTTGTGGTGCTGAAAGTGCCAAAAAGTACATTTGAAAAACTCAACAGCAATGTCTTTTTCCAGAAGTCATGACCTAGTTTCTCCAGATAATCCACAAACCTTGTTGTGAGCAGTTTCATTCAGGAACTATTTTCTTACTACTGAACTACACCTGTCAACCGTATCACCACGCAGAAGGAAGTGTGCATCTACTGATGCTCACCTAGCACCACTGAGCTAGCTAACGTTACAGCTCAGCTGAGGACACTATTAATGTTTACATTTTAAGCTGTCACAAGCACAAGCCTCTCATCCATTAGTAGATGCAACTGAAACTGCTGAAATCAAGGTTTGTGGATTATCTTGAGTAACTCAGTCATGAATTCTGGAAAGAGACATTGTTGTTGGGTTTTTTAAATGTATTTTTTGGCACTTTGAGCACCACAAGCCGAATGCCATCTAGTTCCATTACTGTATATTGGTGAGAAGGCAGACATCTCTATGGCTGATATCTCCAACACTCAGCAACTCACACCAAAACAATCTAGATTGATATGTAGCACCACAGGTAAGAATTTGAATATGTATTTTTGATTTTAGGGTAAACTGTTCTTTTATTAAAGATTTCCAGAGGTTGAGTGCTGAAAAAACAAGCTTTATGCAAATGAGAAAAAAAACGACTTTGAACTGTGATTTAAAAGGATATTGGCTTCAATGTGGCGGTTTTGCTGACCAACCTATCGGAGCACATGCCTCATGACACGCGGCTGCAGACCTTCCTGGAGCTTGCAGATAGTGTCCTCAACTACTTCCAACCCTACCTGGGCCGGATCGAGATCATGGGCAGTGCCAAGCGTATTGAGAGGGTCTACTTTGAGATCAGCGAGTCCAGTCGAACACAGTGGGAGAAACCTCAGGTAAAGATGGCACAGCACATCAAACAATTAATATAACACTTGTCATTTGATTGTCACACCACTTCATTTGGTTACAGGACTGAAAAGTGACTAGAAATCTGCAAATTTCCTTCCAGCTCCTTGTTTTTACTAATATATCTTGTGCCCAGGTCAAAGAATCCAAGCGTCAATTCATCTTTGATGTGGTGAATGAAGGAGGGGAGAAGGAAAAGATGGAGCTGTTTGTGAACTTCTGTGAGGATACCATCTTTGAAATGCAGCTGGCGGCTCAGATGTCTGATGCTGGTGAGCGCTCAGCGGTGAAAGAGGAGAGTGAGCGAGAGAAGCCAGACGAGGAGAACCCTGAGTTGGGCTTCTTCTCTGTTACCACTGTCCGCATGGCTCTGTTGGCTCTGAGATACAACGTCATGCTGCTGATAAAGGTGAGAGCACACACAGCCCCAAACACAGCTAACAGATTTTTGAAAATAAGATTGTTGGGGGTTTTTTTCACGGGTGGGGTGAGAAGATTGATAGAATCTCATGCCTGTGTGTTAAAGCTGGGGTTGGCAGAAATCTAGAAAAGGCAAAAAAAAAGGCAGAATTTGGAAATGCACCCTCCTGCTGCTGCTCTCCTCTCTGTATCCTAAGCCCCTCCCACCAGAAGACCATGGGCATTTACACATGCTTCATAGTAACCCAGTGTTTCCCATACATTGATTTATCTAATCTTATATCATTGAACAGTTGCACACAGCACATTTGCTCAACCCCTCCTTGCTCCACTCTGTCTTTCTATCAGACCATAAATGACACAAGAATTAGCTGCTAGCCACCCTACAGTCCCTACATCTCACTCCCCACCACTGTGGACTACTTCGCAAGAGAGCGGGCAGCAGCTCTGGACACGAATCATTGGTTGGTGACTGGTGGCCAGTGGAAGTACCAGTTCTAACCTTTGTTACAGCAGCAACAGAAAGTTTGCTGTGGAATGAGTTGGAGGGCAAACTGTGATTCAAGATTTAAGCTAATGTTACCTACATAAATATAAACTTAAATTAACTGCAGCCATGACCCTTTGGCTCCAGTTAGCAAAAGGCTAAACTATTAGCAGCAATTTTCTCTCCATCTTTGAAATACTTGGCCAATATTGACACGTTTTCTTGTGTTCATTGTCTGACTTTCTTTTAAACTGTTTGATAAGTCTGTCTTCCTTTTTTAAAGTAACTTTGCAGTGTATACAGCTGTTGCCAGTGCTGGAATAGCAACTTTCTCTCTGAAATGACCTGTGTTTGGCCAAGGTCTCATATCAGGGGCTAGATTTTCTGAAGCCTAAAAACAGAAGAGGAACTGAATTACAATATGGTCAATGTTTAATGTGGAATTTTTGCCCATTAAAGCCAAAATAAATCTGCCTACTCCAGCTTTAAGTATTGGTTATAGTTCCAGCACATAACTTTTGAACACAAATTTTCACTTTTACAATTCTGTTTTCTGTACAAGTTATAGGCTACAAAAAAGATAACTGTGTTCGGAAGTAAACTTTAGAGGTGTATTTGAGCATTGGACAATGCCAAGCTTGCTGTCCCCCCCTGCTTCCAGTCTTATGCTAAGCTAGGAGTCGGCAACCTTGGGCACCAGTGCCACCATTGGCATGCAGTATGAACTAATGGCACTCTAGCAAAAAGTATGAAAGAGAGTTTTTTTAAATGTTTATGTGCACGGATTCCCACACATTCATTTAGTTGTGGTGGCCCATCAACAATGACAGTATCTGCCGCCATGTATTGATTTCTATTTTTGGAGCTCGACCATTCACCGGTTCAATGTGTAAATGCTGGGCATTGAACAGTCCTTGTCACTACTCAGCAGTAAGTAGTTATGTACCACTCAATGGACCATCTATACCTTTTCTCTTTTTTCAGGTCCTGTCCATGAAGAGTTTGAAGAAGCAGATGAAGAAGATAAAGAACATGACAGTGAAGGACATGGTGACCACCCTGGTGTCCTTCTACTGGTCAGTGCTGCTGGGCCTCCTCCATGTGGCGTTCAGTGTGGCCCGAGGATTTTGCAGAATCTTCTACAACACCTTCATGGGAGGCAATCTGGTGGAGGGGGCCAAGACTATAAAGGTTACTACGCATAATTCTAAAACAATACAACAGTGTATCCACAGGTCAATGAAACTAAACACAGTAAGAGCTGTTCTTAAATACATAACTGCCTATTCCAGGTGTCAGAGCTGCTGGCCAACATGCCTGACCCCACCCAGGATGAGGTGAGGGGTGAAGGGGAGGACAGAGAGAGGAGAACCTCTGACCGCAGCTCCCCAAAAGAGGACCTGGCTGACCTGGCAGTGAACACCAGTGAGACAGAGCTGCTGTCAGACATTTTTGGCCTTGACTTAAGAAGAGAGGGAGGCCAATACAAGATCACCCCACATAACCCTAATGCCAGCCTGACCGAACTGCTCAACTCCCCAGTTCCTTCCCCAACCCCCCCAACCCCACCCACAGCAGCACCTGAGCTCAGACGGAGGCATCATGTAAGTCTTCAGTTATTTTTTCATAATCTTATCAATCAGTCAATCAATCAATCAATCAATTTTATTCATAAAGCCCAACATCACAAATCACAATTTGCCTCAGAGGGCTTTACGGCATACGATATCCCTCTGTCCTTTGGACCCTCGCAGCGGATAAGGAAATTCTCCCCCCCAAAAAACCTTGAACGGGGGGGAAAAAAATGGTAGAAACCTCAAGAACAGCAACTGAGGAGGGATCCCTTTTCCAGGACGGACAGACGTTCTTTCTTTTTTTCAATCTTTCTTAAAATCCTGTCATTTTCAACTGGTCTCTCAAAAATTGACTGATGTGGTCAATCATACAGAAATACAACCTGTAGACAAAAAGCATTTTCAGGAAAAGGAAAAATTCTGGATGCAAATTTTCTGCATGACAACTGTGCATACTGGGTCCTGTGCTAATCATCAGCGTTGATGTGTTCCAGGTTCTGGGCATTTCATGAATGAGGCCCAGTGAATGTCCTTGCCACACAAACCCATCCGGACAAAGAATATCTAAGAAGCTAACATTAACTACACAATACATAAACAAATTGGACTCCAAGTGCTAGCTGTTGTGGTTAGCCCTGTTCTGGGACCAACATATCACGTTACCTGTTGGTCAGTCTCAACCCATATATTGTCCTTGTTTGGTTGTTGTGGTGTTTGCCGTACAATATTGGGTGCTAGAAAACCAAACTGATAATATGTTCCCCATAAATGTGGCAGCAGCTCTGCGAAGCTGTACAGCGGTGTTCCGAGCAAAATGCTTAAGTCAGCATGCTAACATGCTGAGGTTGAGCAGGAGTGATCTTTGCCATGTTTACTTCTGTAGTTCAGTGTTTGTGTAAGCTAACATTTGCTTATTAGCACTAAACATAAAATACAGATGACACTGATGGGAGTGTCATCAGGTTTGCAGTAATTTGGCCATAAACCAAATCATAAACCAAATTACTGGACAAATTAAAATGGTGACCTGATGATGGCACATGAGGAAAAGTCAGAATCAAAATTGTTATTTCAGTTCATCCTGAGGGGAACATGAATGTGTGAGCTAAATTTAATGACAATCTATGCGGTCATTGTTGAGGTATTTCAGTCTGAACCAAAGTGGTAGACCGACCATAAGACAGACATTGACAATCATGACTAAATAAGAAACAATCACATTTAAAGTCCAGGGAACAAAACGCCCTTAGGTATGATAGTAAACCCTTGTAATCTGCATCTTTAGGACTCTGTGTGCAGATCAATGTCTTCAAATTTGATTCAGATGTTGCTAAATCCTGATTAGTGCATTGAAGTATGTGACATGTTTTTCCAATTTTCAAGTTCCACCCACTTCCAAGCAGTCTCATAAACACAGATAAAGAAGAGGAACATAAATGTCCTGCCTCAGATTGTCTAAACAGTTCTAACTTTGGCAAACAATTGTGTGTTCATACTATCAGCCACAAGAAGAAGCTGATTGAGAAAATAGGTTTTCAGGGCTTTCAGGCACGCAGCTAGTATGTATATAAATACAAATAAAAATTGGCTGGTCTGTTTAATGATATTTTCTTTTTCAGTCAAAGAGCTCTACCTCAGAGGAGAAGGAAGCAACAGAAACAGAATGTGAACCTGAGAAAACAGAGTATGTATATATTTTTGTTATGTAATCTGATTACTACAATAGTAACCAGTTACAGAAGAGGTACAACCTGTCACCACTACATGTTAGGTTGGTCATTAGAGTGGAAGATAACAGTCATAGCCAAAACCAGTCTACACTCACTGTGCAGAGTATTTTGACCAAAACAAAAAAAAAAGAAAAGATAATCCTCAATCCACTTTCTAGTTTGTTTTTTTTTCCAGAGCTTTCAACCACATTTTACAGTGAGTTAAGAATTCAAAAGCAAATGTGTTTTGTAGATAATGTTGTCCACAAACAAAACAATTGTACATTCTGAATACTTCAGCCTTGTCATTTGCCACATGCTTTCTGTTGAAAGGAAACATGATGATCAGTGGGAATATGTGGAGTTAAATGTAGCGACTTATAAATGTACACACCTTTACTATTTAGTTTTTGTTTAAAGACCATTATTGTAAAAATCATTTATTGGCCAGTCTATTTACTGAGCCCTCCAAAGGAAGCCACAGTGAAGCAGCATTTTATTGTTAGCTGTGTTTAAGTGTCATTTGTCTCGTGATTCCAGGAGTGGACATGTAGAGAAACAAGAGAAACAACAGAAGAATGAGAAGATGAAGCCAAAAGTCAGAAGACACCACACCTCAAAGTCTGATGAACCAGATCTACAGGAGTCTGCCTTCTTGAAGAAGATCATAGCCTACCAGAGGAAACTACTGGTACAACTTTTCCATTTATTTAGTGGTGGTGGTCAACTGTCTCTGCTAACTCAGTATTTTCCAGTCATAAACATATTCACACAGTTTTATAGTTTTTGGTTGCTGAAATCACTGCTCCTGTTCATACGGGCCAGAAATAGGTCCCCTTCATAATGTGATTCCAATGTGGTGAGGACCAGTGTCCAGGATTATCTGATCATCAACCACTTAATTTCCTGCATTCTGCTGAATTTTCCTGCATCAGTTTGCGGTGGAAATGTCTTGATGTTGCTCTGACACACAGACACACTCTGATGATTTCTATATCAAAGTTCTTCAGTTAGATATGAAATCCAGATTGCTGAAAAGAAAAATAGTCTTTTGGGGGAAAGTTTGGTTCATTGACATTAACTTCAGCCTATACATGCGTTATTGCAGGGCTTGTTTTTATATTTTTTCCTGTTGGTTCATAAATGAAATTAATTCACATTTTTGAAATTCAATCCACCACTTTAAAAATGATAAACAATAATGTTTTGTATAAAAGAAAACCGCACTAATTCTTAAAATTATCCTCTAAATCAGCTTTAAATATTCTTAAAGAATCCCAGAGAATAGACAACTGCAGCAGTTGCAGCATCAGACCACGCCAGATTTCTTAAATTAATTATCAGAGCTGCAATGTGAGAGGCACAAACATTATTTTATGTTAAGTTCAGGTTTATAGAAACACATAGAAGTGGGAAAGTAGTTACACAGCTGTCTCCACTCACAATGGGAAGTTGGTGAACCAGAATTAGCCAGAGAAGGGAGATTTTATGTCAGACTGGCTCGATTGGTGTTAAGCTTTATGGTGTGTTATTGCCTAAATTAGTCTGGCTGTATTGAGATTTTTTTTTTTTTTTTTTTTTTTTTTTAAATTTCACAGCAGTGACAAACAATTCTGAGGCTTAGGGCAAGCACTATTGTTACCTGGCTGTCCATGAGGGCAGGTCAGGGACACGTGGATGCTGCTCTGCAGGGCCCTCGGTTTGTGTGCATTAACTGTTTTGGCTGACAACAAGGGAAATAGAAGAGGGATGGGCAGAGGCTCCTGCAGTCTTACAGAATTAAACTCAGATGCATCACGTTTTTAATTGAGAATTGATGCCATGGGCCAAACTTAAAAAATAAAATATAAAATGAAAAATAGAAACAGGAAAAGCAGCAGGGCACCCTCTCTGTTTTACCATCCCCTCGCAGCAGCTTAGCATGGGAACATCATCCAGGGAAACTTTGGAAGATACCAGGGCTGGGGAAAAAAAATCAAATTTTAGACACATCCTTATTCTCTCTTGAAAGATTATGTCTCAATGCAGAAAAGTAAAAAATTTGAAATTTAAATTCCAGTTCTTGACATTATGACCACCTGCACGCATCGCCTGTAGACGTGTGTCACTGCATTGTGTTTACATTTCGCAAGTGGTAGCTAATAGTATTGTGTTAGCAAACAATGATGGCTTTTATCACGTACTGTGACAAAATGTTGTTAATTCGAGTAACGTTCAATTCACCTGTTTCTCCTCTCCTGTACTTAGCTCCATAGTGTGTGGAGGGAGCAGAGCAGAGTCCCGCCCTTTGCAAAACAGAGTGGAGAGAAAATAGCGCAACCATAAATGACAGCAAAACACAGTAAAGACTCTCACACTGAGCTGAAATTAAACAAGTGCACATAAATTACATTAATAAGATAAATTACTAGTGAGTTATTACTTCTTTTACGTAAAGATCTGTACCTCGTTATTCTCTGCATTAGCTCAAAATCATATGTTGACACCCCTAATGAATGTTGATTTCTTACCTGAGGTGCCAATCACAAGAACTATGCCAGGCAATATCTTTTTGACCATGGTTTTTATAATGTCCTGATTGTGGGTTGTTCAGCTTGAGATATTTCTCTACCTCAGCTGTTGAGCTGCAATTGGGCGGAGAAAAAGAGTTGCAAGGGGGGTCGGTATGTATAAGCAGAGTTCAAGTAGGGGAGAAAGTGCATTTTATTCCGAGGGTGGCGGGGCTGGAAATAGGACAGTGGCATGAAGTGCGGCGCGTCCAGGAGCGGCAGCGCGTCAAGGAGCACCAACACGCGTCTAGCCACAGCCGGTGTGTGTGGTTGTACATTTGAAATAATTGGGGCATATTATTCAATGCGTACAGTTCACAGCCAGTGCATTTTGACTTAATAGATACCCACTTATTTGCACCAACTCAGACTGCTGAAGCCTCATCTTAACTTCTGTGAGCCCTACAAGTCATTTTTACACAGAAAGAAGACACTATATTTTGATCCCCACCACTTAGATTGGAATCTGGTTCGGAAGGAATCTCATCATTGCCAATATGGACAGGAGGAATGATTACAGCAACCAAAAGCAGCCTTAATATGCAGTTGCTTAGTTGTCCAACATACAAAACACATTAAAAGCTCTTCTCCCTTTCTCCCCTGCAGAACTACTTTGCCAGGAATTTCTACAACATGAGGATGCTGGCGCTGTTTGTTGCCTTTGCAATCAATTTCATCCTCCTGTTCTATAAGGTAATGGCGTAGCAGAGATGTTGTTATGAGGTTAGAGATTGGGCGGCAAAAGGGGGGTTAGTGGGAATAGCCTTTAACAAAGAGGCTCATAACTTCCAAATGGAGTCTTGGACTTGCAAGATATTGTGGAAAGATTGGTCATGAGCTAAAGGACAGCTGATTAACTGTTCATGCTATTGGATATTCCACCTGATGTCATTGCGTGGATTTTATTTTTGCCACAGTGACAGTATAAATTGGAGAGATTAGAAGATTTAGATGAAAATTTTGGAGTACAAATTTTTAAAGTTGCATTTATCAGTATTTTTATATGTGAGTCAGATGACTACATATAAAGTGGAAGTTGTTGCTTACAGTAATGGACCCACAGAGAACAATCACCCAACTCTGCCGTTCCTCTCAGTTCTACAGAGCTTCTTTCAGCTCACTGTTTTCATTTTACAGCCCACAATTTAACTGTTTTGGTTTAGTCTCACTGCTCTCATCAGCGGTGTTTCCATGCAGCTGTGTTCAGTGAAATTAAATTCTGGTGACTGATAGCTCATTCAGTGCCTCTGATGTGTGTTCCTATGTTCTTCGGTGTCACAGAGAGCTCACGAAGAAATAAGTGCTTATGAGTATGATTATTTTATTAGACTGCAAGTCAACCACATGTTGAATAATGACTAAGAGGAAGAGACAAAATGAAAAGGAGGTTCGTCCTTTTCATCACTGTGGGACTGCTGTCACACACTTTTTAAACATAATAAATGAATGAACAAAAAGGAATAGAGTCAGATACACGCACAGCAGTTTTCACAGGTTTTTAATCAGGGTAAATATCCTCACTGAGGTGCATACATGTTACCATGGTTACCAAATGATTTGTATAAATAGGTTATATACTTGGCCGTATAAAAAAAATGTGACTTAGCCTTATAAATATCAGTTATAAGATCACAGACAGATTTCACAATTAGCTGATGGATTTATTTGTAGTTAAGGGTTTTGAAATTATGTTAAGATCACATATATGCTATCGTAAAATCCTGTGGGTTGTTCATTTGCTTTCACACCACAAACGAACCGCACTAAGGCCCACTTTTCAGGCAATCTCAATACAGTTGTTTTGTCCACACCAGGGTTCACTTGACAGCTCTCACACAAGCTAAAACAAACTCAAAACAGAATTTTCCCTGTGTCTGCTGGATGTGCAAATATCAATTCTGTATGATGATAATACTGTGCTTACAGCTGGCTCTGCTGCCTACAAATGGTGAAAAAAATCAATTAAATTAGCTTGGGTTGGGACTGTAGTCGGTTTATTTTCACCCCTCACAATTAGTAGGGGTTGGACACAGTCACTACTGTGCAAAATAATGCAACACAAAATATGGGCAAAAATCTTTAAAAAAATAGCAAATCAGCTCCTGCAGGACAAAGTCTCAACAAAACACAACATAAGGAGTTTTAAAAAGCTGTATGTGTGGTCACTTTACATCACTTTAGATGCTCCCCATTCATTATAAGGCAATGAAGCCGTCTCTGACAATCAAACAAAACCCTTAAATATTCTTAGCTCTACAAGGTAGTATATTTTATTGTGAGGCTAAAGTATAATATTACACGTTTTATATCCCGCTTGTGATTCTGTTATCAGTTACATTATTTATTATTTTAAGACTGATAAATTGTCCCCTACCAGGTTTCTACATCCTCGTCAGTGGTTGAGGAAAGGGAGGTGGTGTACACCAGCAGCCAACCAGACAGCAGCGTTCAGTGGGATCCTCTCGGAGGAGAAGCATTGGAGACAAAGGAGGACGTGGTGGATGAGGCTAGAGAGCTGCTGAAGCCTGTCACAGTTCGTTTTGTCTTGGAGGAGAGCAGTGGATACATGGAGCCCATGTTACGGATCCTGGCTGTCCTGCACACTGTCATCTCCTTCTTCTGCATCATCGGATACTACTGTCTCAAGGCAGGACACTGACTGTTGATCCAGCAGAAGTCATTTACATAGTTGGAATCTGTATCTGCTGTTAATAAGAACCTTAACCAGCTAAATCCTAAAAAGTTACCAATTTAATGTTTTCCTAGATATTTTCAAACATTTCATATTCAAGGATTTGAATTTTCGGTAATTACATTACATTGTTTGTTATTTTACAACTATATTGGTGTGCATGTGTGCGTGTGTGTGTCTGTGTGTGTAGGTGCCACTGGTGATCTTTAAGCGTGAAAAGGAGGTGGCCAGGAAGCTGGAATTTGATGGTCTTTATATCACAGAACAACCATCTGAGGATGACATCAAAGGACAGTGGGACAGACTGGTAATCAACACACAGTGAGTACACCCTGTGTGTGTTTGAGAGTGTGTAGTTTACGTTGCACAGTATATGCTACAACATCCGTTAAAAAGACAAGTGCCATTAAGTGGAAGATGTCTGAAGAACCAGGAGGAATGAGGAGGAAGAACAAGAACACGAGTTGAGGTTTGAGAAAACCCATTGCAGGCACAGCAGTGCAAACAAAGATTAGAGGTACCTTGTGCATTCCAATGTACAGAGTTAGCAGCGACAAGGAGAGAGGGCAGAGGGGACATTATGATTACAGTAACTATTACCATGTCCATGACAAACTCTGAGAAAACCAACAGTGAAAGTTTGAGCAAATGCATTTCTCTTGTGTTTTTTGTAAACATTTTCATAATTATCCATCTTATGTGACTCATGAGCCTGTTCTCCTCTGATTTTCAGATCTTTCCCCAACAACTACTGGGATAAGTTTGTGAAGAGGAAGGTAGGAGTCATTGTTTTTGTAGACCTGTGGCCATATTCACAAAGGTTCTTATCTTACCACCAGGTGTCCTCCCAAAGTTTCCAGCTAAGAGTTTCCTCTTCAGAGCTATTCACAAAGCTGCTGAGAGACACTTTTACTGAAGAACAAAGACTAAGCTACAAGAAGGGGCGGAGTTGACTGCATTGGATGACATCATGTTTCTTTCCTGAACTTCTTCACTGTGTCCTCAGTGTTTGGTGTTTGATGAGTTGCCTGTTTGTCAGTGAATGTGAAATAACATTTTCCTCAATATAGAGAAATGTGAAGAGCAAAGAAAATCTAAATGGACCGACAGACAGACGGATGGATTGATTGATTGATTTATGGACTGATTGGCTGATAGACTGATTGATTGATGGATTGATTGATTGATTGTTAGATAAATACTTCTGAAACTCTATTTTAGAGCTCTACCAATACTGGATTTTTGAGGCCGATGCTAATAACGAGTAAAAATTGATTTATTGGCCGATAGTAAATATACATTATGTACATATACAAAAACATTTTTTTTAGATCACACACTTGTGATAGTAATAGAGGCAGGATATTATACAGTTTAAAGCCCAGTCCCGACCAAAGATTCACGATGATACGGCTTGAAACAGGCAACTACATGCAATGTGCCCTTCTGCAACGTTCTAAAAACCTGCTGGTTCACACCAGTGCAACTAGATGGGATTGTGTATCATCTCTATGCAACAACTCTCTGTACTTTTGTTCTGAATTCCAGCTTTTCAGGCTTATTATATGACTGAATATAATTTGTTAAAATATGAATGAGGATAGTGAATGTGAGCCACAGTTGCATTTGTAGTAGTGATGCAACGGCGAAAAACATAAAGAAAACGAGCATCAGATGGACTGTATCATTAATAAATACGTCACACTAATATATATAACAAGCGCCAAGTAAGCAGTAAATGAGAATGTGTGTGAGGGAGGCATAAGCGCATACAGCAAGCAGCAGCAGCGACCCACCATTTGACACTGGCACACCATGAGGACAGAAACAGAGGGCTCAGTGGGGGAGGAGCACCTGCTGCAGCAAGCAAACACACTGTTTGCGGTTGTTTTGACTTGCACAGCAGACTTCGCTGCAAGCCAATTGGCTGTTGAAACAGGTGACATGCTTACGTTCTAAAACAAGCCGTCAGCAAATTGACCAGCTGAGTTGCAGTTGGCACCATCAGCTGGCTTGAGTCAAGCTCAGACCGGCCAGTTCACACCACTGCAACTTTTCTTTGCAACGTTCTAAAACAGTTTTGTCTCATAGAGAATCATTGATCTAGACTAGGTTTTACAGTAACTCTTACTGTTAAAAATGACATCATTGTACTAAAACAGTCAACTTCTTTGGGGATTTAATAATTACAAATCATTCCAAGCATCTTTTTCTTAAAATATATTAAAGAAAACATAAATGTTCATATCAGTGCATATGGCACAACATATACACCAATACTGATATATTGGTCAGGCTCTACTATATTGTCCATATTTTTTGCAAATATGGATTAGAAATTCATTATCCCTCTGTTTTTAGAAAGCACTGATTTGATGAGGCACCTTACCTGCAGTACATCACTGACTGTGGCCAGGTCTTAGGGCCAGGTTATTCTAGAAAAGAAGTGGTTCATACAGCGTGTTGTCCAACTAGTTTGGAATTCAAAAGTTTATACATGATTCAAACAACAGGGCAAAAAGCCAGCATTTCTAAAGAGGGGGAGAAGTGAAATCATTTAAAAAGTGGCGCACATTTTCAGACAGTCTCTCCTGAAAGACATATTGCACTCAGTTGTTCACATGGAGAGAGATAGAAATAGTTGTGTCAAGAGTGAAAAAAGAGAGCTTGATGAGAAGTTCAAACTCTGGCTCCTTTCTCACATCTACACAGCTGACCAGGCACAGTGTGAGGTCAGTTCTCTCAGGGAACTACTTTTAGCATTAACGTGCTTTGTGAATAACTCATAGACCAAAAACTTAAGAGTTCCAAAGTTAGGATTGTGATGCTGCTCTTATTCTCAGGAGTTTCTCCAAACTCAACCTTCTCTGAGCTTCTTTTAGATTCAGGATGTCTTGTGAATACAACCCCAGATAAGGTTCAACTCATCCACTCAGTTTTTAACTGTGGAACAGGGAGGACGTATAACTGAGCTACCATAGACTCAGGACAGGTGTTGGAAGATGTTCATTAGATTTTTTGTATATTCATTGACTGTTATATTTAGGTTGGGTTTAGACCATAGGAGTCATTATACAGCTGGTTGTATCACACCAGTGTAGATACATTTTACTGAATTTCTCCTCTGTAACCAGTAACAAGATTACAAAATAATTGCACATCACTGATCACAAACTACATTAAAGTTTATTGTGACAGAGGTGTGCCACATTTACCTTTCTCTCTGACAGACATGATCTAACTCCTTTCCCTCTCTCACACTCACACTCACACACACACATGCACAGACACACACAAAGTCTCTCTCACTCCATCTCTCTTTTCTCTGTACAGTTATGTCATACATGTTACATGTTATGATTATTTATGCCACATTTCAGTGAGGCCCTCTCCTGCCTGATCAGCTGTTCAGTAAACCCACAAAAGCAGCCAGTTGCTCTTTCATTTCTATTCCTGCCTCTTTGGTGATTTATATGAAAACGCACTGCATTCACAAAAGAAAAAAATGTTTTCTGAATTATGAGAAAAGATAGTTTCAGTCACAGCTAACCTTGGCTAGAGGATAAGACAGGGGACAATGAATGGCACTTTCCATGGGTTCTCCGGCTTACTCCTACAGCCCACAGACATGCAGGTTAGGTTAACTGGTGACTCTAAATTGCCGCCAGATGATTGTGAGCATGAGGGATTGTCTGTCTCTGTGTGTCAGCCCTGTGAAAGTCTGGTGACGCATTCAGGATGTATATCACCTCTCACCCAATGTCAGCTGGGATAGGCTCCAGCCCCTTAAGAGGATAAGAGGTTACACAAAATTGATGGAAAAAATGGAAAGATACTTATTGGATATAACCTCATGCGTTAACAGTCTTCCATAACTATGAGAACTTTTCTCATAAACACAAGATCCTGATGTCGTGTTTATGAGATAGTAACTCATCATAACGAGATAAGGTGTCTTTTTTTCTTTTGTAAATGACTTACATTACTGCTGTAATCCTGGAAGGATTAAATTGAAGATTAAGGCTAAACCCTGTGTGTCTCTAGTAAAACAAAGTGTATGTACTGGTTGCCATAAAATGAGGATAGTAGTTGTATTGTTGACAGATGACATCTTGTCATCTGTCCTTGTATGAATGACGTTCAATGCGAAAAATACAGTCTATTCTACCTGAGATGTTGTCCTACTGGAAAGTGTTTTCTCCCTGCTTCTCCTCAGGTGATGGATAAATATGGAGAGTTCTACGGCCATGACCGCATCAGTGAGCTGCTGGGAATGGACAAGGCTGCTCTGGACTTCAGCGACTCTCACAAAAAGAGAAAGCCCAGGAGAGACAGCTCATTGGCTGCTGTGTGAGTACTCTGTGTGTGTGTGTGTGTGTGTGTGTGTGTGTGTGCGCGTGTGTGTGCGTTTATGTGTTTATGAGACACAAATATGTAATAATACGTACCTGCACACTAAAGCTTGATTTTAAATCATAAATTTTACAAAATATTTTACACCAAAGCGTAATAATGTTAACAATGGCTGCAGCATTTCACGGTGGGCTGACCGTAGTTATCATACACTGCCAGGACAAACTTAGTCAAAGTGCATCCACATCTATATTCTTAATCAGTTTTCTTTGTATGATTAAAGAAAGGTCATTTTTATGCTGTTCAGGTCAGTGCACATACATAGCAATAAATACTACTTATGAATAAATGAAAACTAAATTTTATTTAACAAGAAATAAATATATAATTCAGGAAAGCAGCAACCATAGTTACCATCCACCGCTTACTAATACAAGGTCATCCTGACCTCCCATACATTCACTGAAAAATGGGACAGCTCAATTGTCCACATATTTAAATAACCATTTCAGATGACTTGAGTCATTCATATCCACTTGTGTTCTGTAAATGGTAAATGGACCTGCATTTGTATAGCGCCTTTCTAGTCATCCGCTTTTTACACTACGAGTCACATTCACCCATTCACACACACATTCATACACTGGTGGCTGAGGCTACCATACAAGGTGCCACCTGCTACTCAGTTTTAACACACTCACACACCGATGAAACAGCCATCGGGAGCAATTTGGGGTTCAGTACCTTGCTCAAGGATACTTCGACCTGCAGCCTGGAGGAGCCCGGGATCGAACTGCTGCTCTTTCGATTGGTGGACGACTCGCCCTACCTCTGAGCCACAGCCGCCCATGCCCTGTATGTCATTAATAAAAGTTCACGGTACAATTTACAGTATAAAGGGCAGTAAAAAGCAAAATTAAACTAATTTTTTTGTTTATCTCAGATCACACACTGGACAAAATTTTCTTCTTTCAAAGCAGCCCACCAACCTGTTACAATATGAAGAGGCAGAATAGCAGCTCTAATCTGAGAACAGAAAGACCTGTTTTTTTTTTATTAGTATGAATCATTTCCAGTAGGCTGATCTGTACACACTTGAAATGGGATTTGGAGTTAATAGTATCAGGTTTTACAAGCAGGACTTTTATTCACCCTGAAAGCTGGGTCTTCTTCAGAGGCTCAGGGTCCTCTGTTGGTCATATGGTCTCACACATGATCGTCCTCTGTGAGCCTCTTCTCCATCTGTTTTCAGGCTGAACTCCATTGATGTCAAGTACCAGATCTGGAAGCTGGGGGTTGTGTTCACAGACAATGTAAGTATGTAGAGGCACAAAATCATTTAGCAGCCATGTCTGGCTCCATTATGTGGATTGGAAGTAACAGGGTTTCAAAAACATTGCCTCTTTACATTTAAGAATTTAAATATTATCATGATGTCAGCAGGCATTCCAGAGGTATTTAATCAATAATAAAAATTAAACTGTAAACTGTTAATGAATGATAATAAAATGTCAAACTGAGGCTTGATTTGCCATCTTTGCAGACATTTTCCGATTTCTGATTCAAATTAACCGCACTTTCGATATATTAAACTATATTGCTTTTCACTGAAGGTTGCAGTATGCGGATATTGAAGCATATCAACAATATATACGGAAATATAGTACCAGCTTACCTCTGGCTTTTTCTAACGTACTGTTGTCTCATTTATGCAAAGTTTTGGTCCCGTCAAATTCTGGGATCATTAACAATCACTTCATGTGACATTTTCGTGAACTGATACACTAATCTGTGCCAAAATTGAAAAGCCATATAAATACAGCCAGAAACTGAACATTGATATTGTCCTTATGTAACTGTATTAACTAACCTCACTGTCCCTCGCACCATACAGTCCTTCCTGTATCTGGCCTGGTATATGACCATGTCCATCCTGGGTCACTATAACAACTTCTTCTTTGCTGCCCATCTGCTCGATATTGCCATGGGCTTCAAGACACTCCGAACCATCCTGTCCTCAGTCACACACAATGGCAAACAGGTAAACTACGACATACCCAGCTACACTATGGTCGAAAAAATACACACATATTACAGCATTTGCATGTCTGTACTTAAACACCTTCCTGCAACTACTGTGTTATACATAGTAACATAGAATCCTTGTCTGATGTTGCATTGTCAGACTTGACAAACAGCTAACAGAGTCCAGTAAAGGCCAAAACAAACTGGCAGTGAATGCCGCGCATCAAAAAATACGCCCCCATTATTTTCAATGTACAACCCCACTCCGGCAGCAACTAGAAATGCGCTGCTGCTCCAGGACATGCTGCGGCCCTTGATGCCACTATTCTTTCTCCAGCCTCACTGCCCCTGGAATTAAATGCATTTTCCCCCACTCGCTCTCTGCCTTTTACATACCAGCACATATAGCAACTCTTTTTCCCTACTCCTGTGGCATCAACACAGTATGAAAAATGTTACATAAATACATTCCAATCATATATTTAAATGTTACCACCTTTTAGCACTCTGTATTATACTACCCCTAATATACTGTATCCATATTGTAGCTGACATGTAAATCTTGTCAAATAACTCATTCAACGATTCTCCATAAAAACAACTAAAGACAGATTATCTTTAATAAAATGTATCTTCCCAGTGTGTTGCAGACTATTTCTGCTGTACATACATCCAAACTTGAGGGAAGAAAGCAAAGTGATCGCCTGCATGCTTGTTAAAGCCACCCTGCTGCCAAATAGAGTTTTTTTCACTTGTTGTCCACAAGGGGGTTTTAAAGTACCTTAAATAACACCAGCACAGAAATAGTACATTCAAAGTGTCCAGATCAACCACTAACCACCATTTTATAAAGTATTTTAGAGACCATCTCACATTTTTTAAAGCATACAAACATGCTGTTATTTTAGTTGCCCATGTTGTTGTATTTTTTCTGTACCCAGACTGTTGTGCATCACAGCAGCCTTGTCTTCTCTCCTGTCTTCCAGCTGGTGTTAACAGTTGGCCTGTTAGCAGTGGTGGTGTACCTATACACAGTAGTGGCCTTCAACTTCTTCAGGAAGTTCTACAACAAGAGTGAAGATGGAGAACTGCCAGACATGAAGTGTGACGACATGTTGACAGTGAGTGTGACATGTGTATAGCTTTCTGTGCTGTAGTGCAGTCCGACACTTTGCCAACATATTGTGCTTTACTAGAATGGCAACTACAGTTGCCTTAGGTCTAATGGCTCAAGGCAGCATCTTAGCATTAAGGCATTACTTTGTTGGTCAGTGTTAGCTGTGAACATAATGACAGCATTTTAAATGAGGACAGGAACAAATATCTGATGTAACACGTAACAAGACAAAAGGTTAATGAATGAACTTGAAATTCATAACATGTAGATGAAGGGTAAGTTGGTGTATGCTGTTTTTCAGCAGGTAGCAGTTAGATGTATGGACACTGGGAAGCAGTCCTGTTATATGAATGAATGTGTACGTGGCACTGGTGACAGGCAGTAGTGTTGGATATAAAACGGTGATGTGGACCAACGGCTATCCTGAGCCGGATCGTTTCTGGTGACTTTTCAAGAAATAATCTGAAACTAAAATCTGCACATTGCTTTTGTTGAATATATATATTTCTCACATCTGTGCAGTTGGGTGTTGTCAAATGTCAAAGGGTAACTTCAGAATTTTTCAACCTGGACCCTATTTTCCCATGTTTTCGTGTTTGAAGTGGCTCATGGGTTCAACAATTTTTGAAATTGTTCCAGTGCTGAGTGAGAGTCCTGAAGCCAGCCTCAGCAAAACCAGCTGCAATGTAACCACTTGGGGCATGTTCACACCATCAATTTACATTTACTAAAAGTGCTTGTGTTTGGCACTGACAGGCTCAATTTTCTATTCTGTCTGACAACATTATGGAAAGGATCTCTACAGAGATAGATCTTTTTATTAGAGTAAGAGTTTCTGGTTAAACAAAAAGGACCTTACTCTTTCACATAAAGGTCTGTCTCTCCAGGGATCCTTTCTGAGATGCTGTCGGACACTTATAATAATCTGATAGGCTTGGGTGGTATCTATTTTTTCATGCCTTCCTGAAATTCTACCAGGGTATGCGGTATATGACTGCATTTGTCTGCAGTGCTAACCCACCCTTAACACTCCAGTCTGTAATGTTCCACCAATAAAAAACTGACCTCTGGTGGTGCGTAATGTGCACTACATATATCATCCTCAATACAGCTACTGAAAGATGAGCATCTGTAGTTTTGACGTTATTGAAAATCTTACCATTGTAACTTCTAAATACCCTGGTATACCCTAATACCATGATGTCACCCAAGCCTATAATCTGAGCCTGTCAGTGGCAAAACCATGCACTATTAGTGGACATGAATTGACGGTGCGAACATGCCTCAAGTGGTTAAGTTGCAGCCTGTTTCGGTGCTACTGGTTGCAGCACTCTCACACAATACTAGACCAATGTCAAAAACATTTTTTTACGATTAGTCATTTAGACACAAAAACATGGGAAATAGGGTCCAGGTAGAAGACACAGAAGTTACCTTTTGAAACCATGATTTTGTCTCTTCACAACTATTTAGTCTCATTGCTCTGGGCCGTGGCTCACTGCTGTTCTCACTGCTAATATCAGTAAAGCCTGCCTCACTGAAAGTAGGAAGCATCCTGAGGAGCCTGTCTGTAAAGAGGGTCCAGCTCCATTTATGGTCAGAAAGTCATGGGTCAGAGCTTTTAGTCTGACAGTGTTCACCCTCAGGCTCTGTCTGTGGTTCAGCTGAAATGCTGTAAGATTACTTGCTTTCTTTTGTCAGTTTCTTTTCCAGGCATCTGTTAGCTTTGTAGGAATAGCAACAGTGCGTGTGACCATAAGAAAGATGACTTTTAATTGTTACCAACCTGGGTTTGTTTTCTATGATGCAAGCTCAGTTTGAGGCTCCTTGGGTACAGTAACAGAGATAGCCCTGGATAATTGGATATGAAAAGGAAAAGGAAGTAGGTATGAGGGTTAAAAGTGACCCAGCTTTGTGGTACAGGATAGCAATACTGGCACTGACTTCATGCTAGAGGCCATGGTACAGTGCTAATAGGTTTATCGTGCATTTTAATCTTTGGTAGTGTAAACTACTTCTACTACTACTAGTCTAAACATTTACAAAAAGGTCTGTGCCTTTAATGCATATTAGCTTAATCAGGTAGGAAGCATAAACGTGTCAAATCAAATATCTAGACACATCTTGTCTGATGAAGGGAGGAAGCAGGTAAAGACAGAGTGAATCACTGCTATAATGAGGCTGTTCTCTGCTACAGAGCCTTCTGAAAGAAATACTATATAAGGGCTCTATGGTGTGTGTTTTCTGGGGGTGGGAGGGGGCCTTCTGTCACCCGGAAATTTCAGGACATACACTCTAATCCCCTATAGTCACTCACCCATAGCATTCCATAGAGCTCTTCTATTTCCTATTAAGGGGCCGCGGGTGGCAGTTCTAACTGGTGTACAGGAAGGTGACAGGGGCTTAGTGGGATGGAGGGATAGACTGATGAAGGGCCACTGCCCCAGGCAGGTTTTTGCTCTTTCCTCTCCTCCCTTTATGTGATTAAATCCCTTACAACAACACTCCCAGCAGGATGAGAGGATCTGAGCTGATCTCTTCTTTTCTGTTCCACTTGTTCCTCTCTTAGCCTGCATCTTTCTCTCAGTGTACTAGGGTTTTACAATCTTCTTTCCTCTTTCTCCTTTTGTTAGTTCCTCACTGCATCTTGTTCCTTTTATATACACAGTATGTCTGATTTAAGATTTCTTCTCTTTCCTGTTTTCCCATTAACACATTATTCCCTTACTTTTAACTTCATTTTAAAGTCATTATTGTTATAGTACTTTGTTGCTCAAATTATGGTGGTCATACTGCAAATGTTCATTGTGGAAACATTGTTGAATGTACTGGGTCACAGACCATATAACTCACATCTGACACACTAAAATCATTCCACGGATGAAGACTGACTGACTTTTGAAGACTTATTTTCCTTTTACTGAAACTAAATACGTAGTTGTCAAAGAGTTCTTTAGTCAGTCCCATTTCTGTCATCCTGACCTGCACTTTTTTTTTTTTAAAAAATATTACTTTATTTAGTGCAAAATAAGAAAAAAAGGTGTGCACCTTTCAGTGAGTTGTAAAAATCACAACTAGTCCTCATTTCAAATCCAGCATGTTAATTCTCTCTCTCTCTCTCTCTCTCTCTCTCTCTCTCTCTCTCTCTCTCTCTCTCACCCTCTCACAGTGCTACATGTTCCACATGTATGTTGGAGTGCGTGCAGGCGGGGGCATTGGTGATGAGATCGAGGACCCTGCTGGAGATGAGTTTGAGGTGGAGCGCATCGTCTTCGACATTACATTCTTCTTCTTCGTCATCGTTATCCTCCTGGCCATCATCCAGGGTGAGAGGTCCAACCCATACATGCGTGTGCACGTGCACGCTCATGCGCACACACACACACACACACACACATTGCCCCATGAGTAAAGAAGGGTGCAAACCCATGAGGTTGACTCCCTTTTGTTTTAAGATGCTTTGTTAGAATTATCAAAGGGGTCTGTGGAATTTACACAAGTCCGGAGCCTACATCATAGTCTGGGTCATGCCGGCATTTGTTTAATCAATCAATCGATCAATCTTTTAATTTTATTTATAAAGCCCAATATCACAAATCACAATTTGCCTCACAGGGCTTTACAGCATACGACATCCCTCTGTCCTTAAGACCCTCACAGCGGATAAGGAAAAACTCCCCAAAAAAACCCTTTAACGGGGAAAAAAATGGTAGAAACCTCAGGAGGAGCAACTGAGGAGGGATCCCTCTTCCAGGACGGACAGACGTGCAATTGATGTCGTACAGAACAGATCAACATAATAAATTAACAGTACTCCGTATGACACAATGAGACAGAGAGAGAGACAGAGACAGAGAGAGAGACAGAGAGAGATGCAGGACAGACAGTAGTGACAATAGTTTACAACAGCAGTAATGAAAGTAATAATATTATAATTAATATATCTGGAAGTATACATATGTGACAATAATCATATGTGTATAATAACAGTAGAAGTATGACTAATGATCACAGCAGCAGCAGGAAGCATCAGGCAGGACCACGGCAGCAGCACAACCACACACATCCACGTTAAAGAGCCATACTGTAGACAGTAGAAACTAAGTGATGTAGCCACTGTGACGTCACCCCACTGGTTTGTGGATTTCCATTTTGAAGCCTTGAGTTTGGTGTTTTGACGGTCGCCATCTTGTATTTTTTTGGAGCCTGAGGTGTCCATGTTTGGACAAGAGAGTGGAGCTAATGCTGGCCTCTAGCTTGGTTAGCATGGTGCATCTAAGGTTAACAGTAATAATGCTAACATCAGTTTCGCTAGCGGAAAAACAGACTTAAAACCATTAACCAATTAGATGTACATATACGAGAAAAACTGAACATCTTTTAGTTCAACCAAATGCTGAATAACACTTTTTTAGGGGACTAAAATGTTACTGTCATGAACTGATAAAACACTAAAATAGTGACAGCAATGGCTGCACTTATACTATACTGACTCTGGGGTTATGCCATGGTTGCATAACCTTACCAACATTGTCACCGTGATAGCAAATTGTCAGTGGACAGCTCATACCTGTCACTCAAAGCAGTCATGCCCTTTGTGTAGCCTCAATAACATTTAAAGGGGTGTGTCATAAAAATGCACCCCTTTACCCCCATACAGTTTTCAGGAGCAGGGAAAATTAGCTATCGAGGTCATAACTGTTTTTTGTACCAGGCTGTAAGCATATTTACTTCTGCTGTAAAGTTGGCCATATTGCAACATCATATTGCAGCTACAAGTAGCAGGACTTTTCACAGCAGACACGAGTGAAAATAATAGCATTAATTAGAACCTGTGTTTTTCTGCAGTGACATGTTTTGGGCATGAATTGTCTTTATTTTTTTCTCTTTCATTCCAGAATTACAACCAGATGATTATATCAGTCAAATATGATATCATAAGCTTCACATTTTACATGTTAAACTTTGTAGTGCCATTGTTTTAAAGCTGTTTTTAACATTTTGTCTTAGATTCCCACAAACCCAAATAAAGTCGTGATCATTGTATGATAGTAATATGAAGACTGTTACATGAAGATCCAGTACTATTAAAGGTTATTGAGTAAAACAAATGGCTTATGCTGTTGGTTGTGGTCTGGTTAGTTAATTTCTCCACCATCTGTGGTCTGAACATTCAAGGGTTGATCATTGATGCTTTTGGAGAGCTGAGGGACCAGCAGGAACAAGTGAAAGAAGACATGGAGGTGAAAAGACACACTCATACATTCTCTACCACCTAAAACAATGCAGTATTATACAGCACGTGACTGGCAGATGCTGGTTGCACTTTAACAGCCAATATGGTTACAAGTAAAGAGTGTCAGTTAAAGGTTTTGTATAACAAGAATCACGTAACATCCATCTTTCTCTTCCAGACAAAATGTTTTATCTGTGGAATAGGTAATGACTACTTTGACACAGTGCCACATGGCTTTGAAACGCACACGCTACAGGAGCACAACCTAGCCAACTACCTGTGAGTACATCTGGAGTTTCTGTGTGTGTGTTTGTATGTGTGTACATGTACCTCTAACGAAGTATAACCTGGTATTTTATAATCATGCCTGCCTTGTGCAATGCACCTGATTGAAAGACTCAACAAATGTTGTGTTCTCATTGGTCTTTGCCTCCAATTTATAACTGGGAATGTTTTGAGCAGTGACAAATCATTTAAACACCAGTGTGGTTGTTTGAGGGTCCTCGTACGCAGTAAAGATTCTGGGAGCTGGCCCCCACAATCCTTAATGCCACTCCGCTACATGTCTCCCATTACAACATGTGGCTAATCTGTTGTGTGTGTTGTTATTTATGTTTTTATGTCAGAACACTTTGTTACTGAATGTATAATGTGCAAACTCAACAAACAACAAAACAGTGGACACAGTTCTCAGCTGTATGATTTTAGACATGTTTCAGACCTTCCTCTGCACAACCAGTCGTTGTAGTAGTAAGTGCTGGCGTTTTTTTAAAGGATAAGTTTGGTCATTTTCAACATGGACCCTATTTTTCCATGTTTTTATGTCTACAACATTAATGGGAACAACAATTTTTGGAACTGGTCCAGTATTGAGTGTAAGCGTAGCGTGCTGCACTGTTACCACTCAGGGCATTCAATTCAATTCAATTTTATTTATAAAGCCCAATATCACAAATCACAATTTGCCTCACAGGGCTTTACAGCATACGACATCCCTCTGTCCTTAAGACCCTCACAGCGGATAAGGAAAAACTCCCCAAAAAAAACCCCTTTAACGGGGAAAAAAAACGGTAGAAACCTCAGGAAGAGCAACTGAGGAGGGATCCCTCTTCCAGGACGGACAGACGTGCAATAGATGTCGTACAGAACAGATCAGCATAATAAATTAACAGTAATCCATATGACACAATGAGACAGAGAGAGAGAGAGAGAGAGAGAGAGAGAGAGAGAGAGAGAGAGAGATGCAGGTAATGACAGTAGCTTACAACAACATTATTGAAAGTAATAATATTATAGTTATAGTTCTGGCTACTGTGGTACAATATGTTGAAAGTATGTATTAATATCTGGCAGTATACATGTGTGACAATAGTCATATGTGTATAATAACAGTAGAAGTATGACTAATGACTAATGATGGCAGCAGCAGCAGGAGGCATCTGGCAGGACCACGGCAGCAGCACAACCACACACGTCACGCTGTCCAGGCACCGCTGCGATATGAGTTAATCTGAGAGACAGTGGAGCACAAAGGCTCCGGAGAAGAAGCCGAGTTAGTGACATCCAGAATGGCCGAGTTAGCAAGATGCAGTAATAGGATGAGAGTGAGAGAGAGAGAGAGAGAGAGAGAGAGAGAGAGAGAGAGGGAGAGAGAGGGAGCCCGGTGTATTATAGGGGGTCCTCCGGCAGACTAGGCCTAAGTCAGCCTAACTAGGGGCTGGTACAGGGCAAGCCTGAGCCAGCCCTAACTATAAGCTTTATCAAAGAGGAAAGTCTTAAGTCTAGTCTTAAATGTGGAGACGGTGTCTGCCTCCCGGACCGTAACAGGAAGATGATTCCACAGGAGAGGAGCCTGATAGCTGAAGGCTCTGGCTCCTGATCTACTTTTGGAGACTTTAGGGACCACGAGTAACCCTGCGTTCTCAGAGCGCAGTGTTCTGGTGGGATAATATGGCACTATGAGCTCTCTAAGATATGACGGAGCTTGACCATTTAGAGCTTTATAAGTTAACAGTAGGATTTTAAATTCAATTCTGGATTTTACAGGGAGCCAGTGCAGAGAAGCTAAAACAGGAGAAATATGATCTCGTTTCTTAGTTCCTGTTAGTACACGTGCTGCTGCATTCTGAATTAGCTGGAGAGTTTTTAAGGACTTACTAGAGCTACCTGATAATAGAGAGTTACAGTAATCCAGCCTTGAGGTAACAAAAGCGTGGACCAATTTTTCTGCATCTTTTCGGGTCAGGATAGGCCTAATTTTCGCAATATTACGCAGATGAAAAAATGCAGTCCGTGAGGTTTGCTTTAAATGAGAATTAAAAGACAAATCTTGATCAAATATTACTCCGAGGTTTCTTACGGTAGTGCTAGAGGCCAGAGCAATGCCATCTAGAGAAACTATGTCATCAGATAAAGAGTCTCTGAGTTGTTTGGGGCCAAGAACAATAACTTCAGTTTTGTCTGAATTTAACATCAGGAAATTGGTGCTCATCCAATTTTTTATGTCTTTAAGGCAGTTATGGAGTTTAGTTAATTGATTACTTTCTTCTGGCTTCATCGATAAATACAACTGTGTATCATCCGCATAACAATGGAAATTTATAGAGTGATTTCTAATGATGTTACCTAAAGGAAGCATATATAGAGTAAATAGGATTGGTCCGAGCACAGAACCTTGCGGAACTCCAAAACAAACTTTGGTACGTAAGGATGATTCATTACGAACGTCAACAAATTGAAAACGATCAGATAAATAAGATTTAAACCAGCTTAGTGCTGAACCTTTTAGGCCAATTAAGTGATCCAGTCTCTGCAGTAGAATTTGATGGTCAATTGTGTCAAACGCCGCACTAAGATCTAATAAAACAAGAACAGAGACGAGTCCTTTGTCTGAAGCAATCAGAAGGTCATTTGTAATTTTAACTAGAGCTGTCTCAGTGCTATGATGCACTCTAAATCCTGACTGAAATTCCTCAAATAAATTATTATCCTGGAGAAAATCACACAGCTGGTCTGCGACTACTTTCTCAAGGATCTTTGACATAAAGGGAAGATTAGATATTGGTCTATAGTTGGCTAACACCTCTGGATCCAGGGTGGGCTTTTTTAGGAGAGGTTTAATTACAGCTACCTTAAAAGACTGTGGTACATAGCCTGTTAATAGGGATATATTGATCATATCTAATATATGAGTGTTAACTAAAGGAAAGACCTCCTTAAGTAGCCTAGTTGGGATGGGGTCTAAGAGACACGTTGATGATTTAGATGAAGAAATCACTGCGGTCAATTCTTGAAGAGAAATTGGGGAGAAGCAATCTAAATATATATTAGATTCTACAGCTGTGTTTGAGGTTAGATAGGTAGGCCTACCATCTGAGGGCAGGAGGTCATGAATTTTGCCTCTAATAGTTAGAATTTTGTCATTAAAAAAGCTCATAAAATCATTACTGCTAAGGGCTAAAGGAATACAAGGCTCAATAGAGCTTTGACTCTCAGTCAGCCTGGCTACAGTGCTGAAAAGAAACCTGGGGTTGTTCTTGTTTTCTTCTATTAATGCTGAGTAATAGTTTGCTCTGGCATTGCGGAGGCCCCTCTTATAAGTTTTGAGACTGTCTGTCCAGATTAAACGAGATTCTTCCAGTTTGGTTAATCGCCAATTCCTTTCAAATTTTCGCGATATTTGTTTTAACCTACGGGTTTGAGAGTTATACCAAGGAGCAAACTTTCTTTGCTTTGTTAACTTCTTTTTAAGAGGAGCTACAGAGTCGAGCGTTGTTCGCAGCGAGCCTACGGCGCTATCAACAAAATGATCAATTTGGGAGAGGTTAAAGTCGGCACGGGAAACCTCTGTTACTGAAGGTATTGGTATTGAATTTAACGACGAAGTAATCTTTTCCTTAAATTTTGTGACAGCACTATCTGATAAACATCTAGTATAGTAACTGTTGCTGAGTGGCGTGTAATCGAGTAAAAAGAAATCAAAAGTAATCAGATAATGATCTGATAGCAAGGGATTCTGTGGAAAGACTTTTAGGTTATCAATTTCAATTCCATACGTCAGAACTAGATCGAGGGTATGGTTAAAACAGTGAGTGGGTTCATGTACACCCTGACTGAAGCCAATGGAGTCTATTAATGAGATAAACGCGGTAGCCAGGGAGTCATTATCAACGTCGACATGAATGTTAAAATCGCCTACAATAATAACTTTATCTGATTTAAGAACTAAACTGGATAAAAACTCTGAGAATTCAGATACAAATTCAGAATACGGGCCAGGAGCACGGTACACTATAACAAATAAAAGTGGCTGCGAGGTTTTCCAGGTCGGATGTAAAACACTAAGAACGAGGCTTTCAAATGAATTATAATCTAGTTTAGGTTTAGGGCTGATTAACAGACTAGAGTTAAAAATGGCTGCAACTCCCCCTCCTCGGCCGCTGCCTCGAGGAATGTGGGTATTATTATGACTGGGAGGAGTGGACTCATTTAGACTAACATATTCATCTTGACACAGCCAGGTTTCAGTGAGACTGAGTAAATCAATATGATTATCTGATATTAATTCGTTTACTAACACTGCTTTAGACGATAGAGACCTGATATTTAACAGTCCGCATTTAATTCTCCTGTTTTGTCTTTCTGTCACAGAAGAGGTTTTAATTTTTATGAGGTTGTTATGCACAACTCCTCTTTGTTTAATTTTAGATTTAAATAATTTAGGTGGTCGGGGGACAGACACCGTTTGTATAAAACTATGAAAACTATGGCTGGGTAACTGAACTAGAAGCTCAGAGAGGCGTTTAGGACTGCAACTCTCTGTCCTGGTCTCAACTCTGGGTTGTCAGGGATTTAAATTACTAATAAAATTTGCCAGGTTCCTAGAAATGAGAGCAGCTCCATCCAAAGTGGGGTGAATGCCGTCTCTCCTAATAAGACCAGGTTTTCCCCAGAAAGTTTGCCAATTATTAACAAAACCCACATCGTTTGCTGGACACCACCTGGACAGCCAGCGGTTAAATGATGACATGCGGCTAAACATGTCATCACTGGTCAGATTTGGGAGGGGTCCAGAGAAAACTACGGAGTCCGACATCGTTTTTGCATATTCACACACCGAGGCAATATTAATTTTAGTGACCTCCGATTGGCGTAACCGGGTGTCATTGCCGCCGACGTGAATAACAATCTTACTGAATCTACGTTTAGCTTTAGCCAGCAGTTTTAAATTTGATTCAATGTCGCCCGCTCTGGCCCCAGGGATACATTTGACTATGGCCGCTGGTGTTGCTAACTTCACGTTCCTCAGAATAGAGCTGCCAATAACCAGAGTTTTATCCTCAGCGGGTGTGTCGCTGAGTGGGGAAAAGCGGTTGGAAACGTGAACAGGCTGGTGGTGAGCCGTGGGCTTCTGCTTGGAGCTGTGCTTCTGGCGAACCGTAACCCAACCTCCCGGCTGAACGGGAGTTACCGGAGGACAGTTAGCAGAGGCTAAGGCTATGCTATGTGGCTCCGCACCGGCTACAGGGGGCTGGCTAACTACCGCAGCTACTGAATGGTTTTCCATGGTGCGGAGCCGCGCTTCTAATTCACTAAGCCTCGCCTCCAACGCAGCAAATAAGCTACACTTATTACAATTACCACTGTCGCTAAAGGAGGCAGAGGCATAACTGAACATTTGGCACACCGGGCAAGAAAGAGCAGGAGAAGGAGAAGCCATGGCTAAGCTAAAGTAGCTAACAAGGCTAAGAGCGTGCAAACAACAGCTAAGAGATTAGCGAGAAAGTCGTAGAAAGAAGGAGAGCTATAAGTGCTTAAACAGAACCAGTGTGGGTTATGACTTGAAGTAGACGTTAAAGCAGCGTTAAAGCAACTGAGGTGAGAAAGCAGGCTAGCAGAATTCACCAGAGCAGTACAGAGACACTGTCACAGAAACACCGGAAATGACACAACTCGCTTACCACAATACGTCAGCACGTGAGGGCATGTTCGCACTATCAATGTATACGTCCACTGAAAGTGTTTGTTTTTGCCACTGACAGGCTCAAATTGTTATTCTAAGTGTCTGAAAATATTATGGAAAGGATCCCTACAGAGATAAACCTTTTTAGCAGTAAGATCCTTTTTGTTTAACCAGAAACAGCCCCACTATCGGCAAACCCACCAGACTTCATTTAAATAAACATAAATTTGTATCGAGTATTGAGCCAGTATATTTTCACTTCTAACTAGGTAAATTAAGGGTTTATTTCAACAAAACCAGAGTTAATGATTTTCAGAGCAGGGTAAAGATGAACCAAAATGGTTTTGTCAGTTGTTGTTTTTTTTTTTTGTTTCTGGCAACTTTGAATGAAGTGTGTTTTAAGCTGTTTATTTTAATGGAGTCTGTCGGGTTTGGTGATAGGGATTTCAGGGGTGTTTCTGGTAAAACAAAAAGGATCTTACTCTTCAACAAAAAGTTTAGCACTGTAGGGATCCTTTTCATAATGTTGTCAGACATTTAGAATAACAACCTGAGCCTGAGGCTCTTGACAAAAACAAACACTGAGTGGACATTAATTGACAGTGCGAACATGCCCTGAGTGATTACATTGGGCTGCAGCGATCTCCCTCAGTACTGGACCAATTAATAAAATTGTTGTCCCCACTATTCACATTAACATGGAAAAATAGGGTCTAGGTTGAAAAACACCAAATTTACCCTTTAACATCAGGTTCTGTTGGTGTATGTTTGTGCATGTGGGTGTATGTGTGACAATATTGTCAGTGGATATGTTCTTCTAATGTATGTGCGTGTGTGTGTTTCAGATTCTTTGTGATGTATCTCATCAACAAAGATGAAACAGAGCACACAGGCCAGGTAAAACAGCTTTTTTTCTTTTGGTCTTATTAAATATACATTACTATGATATTGTAATGTAGTTAGTACAGCTCAACTTCAAATTCTCCTCCAGTGTTTCTGATCCTTGCTGTTTGCATAGTTAAAGCCTCAGTATGCTTTAAACAAAGTGCCTGTCAGATCCTCTAACAGCATCTGAAACCCATGTCCAATAGTGGAATCTCACCCCTCTGTATGGTTTCCTGTAGAAAAAAAAATGGTGCTGCTACATGTCCTGATAGTGTCCTGGACAAATAGGAGAGATTCCAGTCAAATATTGTCTGTGTTTATTGACCTTAAAAACAACTGAAAGGCAGGCTATGTAAAGACATCATCGTTCTTTATAGATTTATAAAGAAATGTAGGTGACTTTTGCTTGTCCATTATATTCCAAATAAAATAAATCCTGTCAGCCCTGTTGTGTTAGTCCAACTAAAACCAGACTTCCAAAAACACATGTAAACATGCTAGTCCCACTGAAATCATAGTAAATTGAATTTTTCAAAGTTGGACTAACACACTCAGATAATGTGACTTGAGAGTCAAATTACTCCTGCATGTATACAGTCAGTCAGACCCAAACTGGCCTAGGCGTTCTGTGCATGCTCCACAGTTTCCGCCCCAGGCTTTGACCCAAGTCACATAGCATTAAATGTGTGACAGAGGAAGAAGTAGCCAATAACAAAATGGCAAAATCTACATCAGAGCTGCGCATTTCTGGATGGACAAAATGTACAGGGCTGTGACGATGTTCACCATGGTACCAGTTTGCCACTAGCTACCTGTAGCTAACTTTGGCGATTGTTTGGTCTGAGACGTAGTAGGTCAACTGAAAAAAGGTCCAGTGCTAACAAACTGAAAGGGGTCAATAAATCCATTCCCCTCCCGTGACAGTAGTTCAGTTAAATGGCCTAGTTGAGCTATAACCATAGCTTGACTTAACTGTGCATGTAAACATATTGACAGAGTTTGGCTATTTGGAACAGGTAGAAACACTTCTGCCCTGGTCCTACAACAATTTGTTTGAACACATACTGGGGCCATTGGTGGCTCAGTGTTTGAAGCTCACATTGCTGTTACTAACCTCAGTAGGTGACTCTAAATATGTTGTATATAATGTAATCCCTTTCTACCTCCTCCCATCTGTCTGTCTTAAAGGAGTCTTACGTATGGAAGATGTACCAGGAGCGTTGCTGGGAGTTTTTCCCTGCAGGTGACTGTTTCCGGAAACAATACGAAGATCAGCTCAACTGATCTGTTCTTGGGGCAACAAGCTTTCATACTGTAACCTGTTCAAGGCCCTCTACAGACATCTTCCCTTTGCTTATCCCTCAAACCTTTCTTACTGCTCTCTAAGGAGTCCCTGTTCCAGTGAACGATGGGTTCTATACTCGGCTCCCAGTCCAGGAGGAATCTCCAGCGTCCTCTACAGGCCCCGCCCTAAGCCTTCCTCCCAGCTCTTCCTCATCCAGACACTCAATTCGCCAGCTCTGCCCCAACTTCCAGCACACTTTGTTTGGAATGCTTCTAACTCTGACTTTGTACATAGAAAATATCAGAGTATATGCTGTACAATATGTGACTGGTGGCACGTCAAGGTTTTTGGCTCAGATGATGACTTCTTTGCTTCATCTTATTCTACATTCACAGTAACAAGCAAAAAATACAAAGGAATAATGGAGCAAGAGCAAAAGGAAGGACCCAAAGATGGACAGAGGAGGAGAGTGGAGAGAAAATGAAGAGAGAATTTTTCCTGAAAGACTTTCAGGACAATGATCGATACACAAAGAGCAAACATTAGTATGATGATGTTTACGACTTTTCATGTGTACAATGCACGTTGCATGTAGGTACAGGGGGTGGACACAAAGAAGGAACACCTACAACCCTGCTGTAATCCAACACAACAGCTCTGCAATAAATGTGACCTTTGAGAAGCCTATGGATCTGCTTTGTTAAAACTGTCAAAGGGGTGGGGATTAAACTCTGAGGTATCCTTTTTTTTAGTTTGTGGTACATGCCAAGCAGAAAGATGTGAGGTGCCTCTACATAATCTAATCCAGCACACCACCAAACTACACAATTACCACAGAGTCGAATCAACACCTCTTTGACAATGTCACAAACACTGAACATCCTGATCCTTACAAATAGAGCCGTTGTACTGGATTGACTTAAAATATAGTTTACAGATGTTAATATCGTGTCCACACCCTGTACATGCCAACACTGTGTGTGAAGGGCTCCTTAACTAAGTGTTCACATCATTAGCAACATAATCAGCAGTCCATTTGTTCCAGTGGAGCTGAGTGAGCTGGAAACCCAGCCAACATACGGACGTCAACAAGTCATGATTCTCCATCAGCTTGCAAGTTATCATCTTTTTTTAAGATAACAGAAGTAAATAAATGTCCCAAAAACTATGCTTGCAAAATGGTTGAATCCATTGTTGACATAATGTTTACTATTTTTTTTTTTCTTTTATTTGATCTTTTGCCCCAGTAGCATCATGGTTTTAGGATAGTGTCCAGCAAGCTGGTTCAGATCAATATATGTGGGAAACTACTGGTCAGATTGCCATGGAATTTACTGAACACATGATTTAACATTCAGACAATTGTCTAGCCCCGCTACAGGTCAAGGCTCTAAGAATAACTAAATTCTGCATGTTTGTTCTGTCCAACAGTATTTTGGTGTGTAAGAAACATCATAGCCTCTAGGTGTCCCTATCGGAGCTTTAGACTGTCTTTTTTCAATTAATGCTACTTAATTAGGGCTTGCTCCGTACATTTGTTAATCAAACGATGTAGTTTTATGAAAGCAATACCAAAGCAGCAAAAAAGTGATTTGTCTGTTTCAGACTTTATAGCTGCCGACAAAGTTAGCGCATGCTTATTAGCTAAGATAAATAATCAGCCGGGCTGGAGCAACCCATCAGTTAGATCAGGAGGACAGGCTGAAGACAGATGATGATCAATGTTTGGATGAAAGCAGAAGGAGTGGAGACAGGAGGATACAGTGCCTTACTAAGCCAGGGGTGAGTTATGCAAGCTGGAGGAGGAGAGAGGAATGTCAGAGAATATAATGTAGAGACTGAGGATAAGACCGAGAGCTGGGTGACGGCATGTTTATGAAAAACAGAAATATACCACATGTGAGCACTATAGGAAAGTAGAAATTCAGACGGAAGAAGGACGGGGAGAGAAATGCCCTCAGGATTTTGTTATTACAAATATAACATGACTGGCATTTCTCACTGGTTCTTACGCTATTTGGTGCAGACCTTAGTATAAATATCCACATTAAAAATAATTTAAATTTTCAGTTGTGCTTGCATTATAGCTTTATACAGTGAAAAAGGGGTGTTACAATTTTATTTAAGATATGTTTTAATCAATTCTGTTTAATTATACATTACTGTCAGATGATTAAGTTGTCTTATAAAGTTCTGGGATGTCAGGTTTCAGTTTGAAATGACCATTTCAATCGCCAAAATACATGTTGACATTGTACGTGTCTGCAAACCACAGTTATGTTTGTAAGTTTCATATGAAGCATTCATATGATATGTTAAAACTTTATGTTACAATTTTATGTTATAACAACACTGTGGTTAACGTGTGGTTAGGTTTTGGTACAAAAAAAACCACTTGTTTAGGTTCAGGAAAACAACTGGTTTTGCCAGAGGGTTAGGGTTAACCGTTATCCTCTAACCCTCTAACCCTAACCTCCTAATGCTACAAACATGGTGAGAAATGTCCCAAACTTGTTTGAAAATACCTTCTTTTCTCGCTGCAAACAAAGCTGCCTAAGTCCACAATTCTGGTTTTAAAATACCTGCCTCTGTTGCTACAAACACGATTGAACATTATGGAAATCTTTGTTAAAATATATTAGGTTTGGTCGTGACAAACAAGGCTGGAAATGCCCCAAATCCTTGTTAAAAACAACCGCATTTGACACTAAAAACACTGGACATGTCCTGAAATACCAGGTTTGGTCACGACAAACATGGTTGGAAATATCTCAAACTTGTGTAAAAAAAACACCCACTTGTGTTAGTCTTGAAAAGTGCTCTGGTGCTGTCTGCTGCCTGGCAGACATCTCCTCTAGGTGTCACACCATCCCCTCCCCCTCCTCCCTTGATGAGAAACTCAGCTCATGTCCATGTAATCCCACTACATCACTTAAGAAATGTTTATGATGTGTATGAGATGTACAAATTCAGAAATCTGTGGTTTTCAGAAATGTACAGCACCAACATTTATCCTGGCATCTGGGCTGAAATGACAGCAGCAAATGAGGTCATACTTCATACTGACTGTAAATTGAGTGGAGATTTTTAACAGCAGGCGTGGAGTGTGGCATTAGTGGTAGTGTTGTAATAAGAGGAACCTCCACTTTCCTTAAACTTAGTATGCTGTTGTGCAACTTGTCCTGTGCAAATGGCTTTTTCATTTTAACAGAAGCATTCAGTTCCTTTGGATGGCTCCATATACACTTACAGTTGTCAGTTTATTTGGTTCACCAAATTGTACTAATACAGTTTAAGAGATGTGTTGATTCAACTGTTTTGTGGTGCTTGAGGTGTTTATAGTATTTAATCAACTACTAATAATTTATATAAATGGGGAGTACAAAATATCAGAAACACTTCTGAGTATAAACAGGCAAACAATAGCCTATAGTAAGTTGTATTGCTGGGTTGGTAGACTGCATAAGTTTCAGCCAGGTGGACCAAAAAAACTTGGAACTGTGTGTATACCACAACACTTCCAGAACAAGCTCCATGTGCGTGATTGCTGTTCCAACAGTTTCCATAACACTTAACAGTATTAATCATTTATCAGGCTGCCATACCATCAACTTTAAAGATGGATTCATCTTGTTATTTTAGCTTTGTGTCAGTACACACTCTGCTGCAGACACATACTGTAAACATTCTGTCTCATGCAATATGGGAGTCAACATCAAGAGACAGAATTCCATCATCCATATCAATATGTTGGATTATAAGTTCTTTCTTTTTTCAACCTTTTTATTTTAATTGTTACACCCCTCACTGCAAAGCAGGAAGATTCACTGACAGTGTTAAAACCTTCCAAAGAAAACATTTCATGACTCATGAAGTCTGACCTTGTAGGACTTGGGTGCGCAAAGGTTGAATGAATTAAATAAAAAAATTATAGTATCAGAAACAAAATAATCTATTTAAAGCATAATTATTATTGCAGTATTGTTTATTTTTCATATTCTTACTGATTCATTCCTCAGTGATATGAAATGTGTGTTGTTATAATGAATGCTCAGAGCTGGCAAATGTCCTGGAAACATTTTCAAATGAGGATTGTTTATTTGATGTTTTTTGGGTTGTTGTTTTTTTGGGGTTTTTTTTTTTTGTTTTTTTGGTGGTGATCTTATGCAATACAGCAAAGAGAGTTACTCTTTTTATATAGACGTTCTCCAAAAGAATATCTCAGAAAAAAATGCCATTGCATGTTTATTATGCGGGTTTAATTATCAAGTATAACAAAGACACTGAATCTATGTCACCCATAAATTGTTTGATAGGATTATTTAAGATGAATTAAGATTTCTGTATTATTGTATTTAAGTGTTGTGGGCTTCACTGTAACTCTTCAAGTCATTTGCCACGAGTGCATCCCTCCGAAAAAAAAAGACAAAAAGTGGCTGCTGCTTTTCTCTCACTTAACCATCTCTGTTTTAATATACTATGAGTCAGAGGTTTGTTTAAGTATCATTTGGTTTTAAGCTCAAGCAATAGCCCTTCAGGGAGTGTATGGGAGGTGACCAACCATTGTAAATTGCAAACAAAGGCGAAACAAATAAAAGCTTGCTTAACTTTGTCTCAATTTAAAAATAAAATTATTTATTCATTTATTATCTATGTATTTTATTTACTTAACAGATAATGGTAAGGGAATAAAGCTGAGACTCTGTTCAATTAGTTTTACCACTTAATCTTAAAGGTGCAATATATATAAAAAAATATTTTGTTGGCTCTATGCACATAACCACCATTACATACATATAGGTTTGTCTGAACATCGCCTGTCACTTTTTTGTTTCTGCTATCAGCTTTCCAAAACAGGTACAGGAAGTCCTATTTTGTAAACCTGCTGAGAATGGCATGGCATACCCTCTGTGCTCAGTTTGGTTTTTCTAAAACCCAAGTTACCATGAGTGAAGTTTGTTAAAGGTGAATTGAGCTTCAGACTCTGAAATACTTCAATAGTGATGAATTAGGATCATGTTTCTTAGACCAGTAAGGTCAGTATAAAGACCCAAAGTATTTAATATTAAACAAGTAAACAAGATAAATTAATCATATAATCAAATCATAGACTGTATAAAATAATAGATATAGCCACCAAGACATCACGCAGTAGTCAGTGAACTTATGTTTTAAAGCCTCTACTCTGGCATTTTGGCCGTCACCATCTTGCTTTTTTTGGAACCAGATGTAACAGAAGTGGTAGCTGTTAGCTTAGTTAGCACAGTTCATTTACAGCTATGGTTAACTGTGATAATGCTAATGCTAATTTTCATGAACAAAAACAGGCCTAAAAGCAATAAAACAAAAGGTACCTACCTGAGAAAACTGAAGATTTGACTCCTTTGAGGGTCTTTTAGTACAACTAATCGCTGAACAAGACATTTTTAGATCATCGGTAAATCTGGGGTTACGCCATTGTTACGTTACCTGACCAATGTTGTTGCCATGATAGCGACTCTTCAACGGACGGCAACCACCTGTCACTCAAAGCGACTGCACCTTTAATTATGCAGAACTTTAAACCATGATAACATTTTAACGGATGAGTTATATAAAAATTCACTCCCATAAGGTTGTCATAAATGTTAAAATTACATTTAAAGACCAAAACATTTTTTGCACCAGGCTGTAAACATATTTATTTCTGCTATAAAGTTGGGCATTTTAACATGGAAGTCTATGGGGATTTACTCACTCTTGGAGCCAACCTCAAGTGGCCAGTTGGTTGGTTTCATTTTTCAATCCCCAGAAACTGATGGAACCAAATGCATAATTAACCCTGAAATTGTGTGATAATCTAAACGTTTTTAAAACTCATTATTACGAAGTGATATTTAATCCAGAGGCAGGGCCAGTTGTATGATAGGCGGATCACTCATTCAGGGCCTGATACACAACTGTTTCTGCCCCGTTTGTCTTGACCACCTTTGTGAGAAAAAGTGTGAAAAATTATGAAACAAAACAAACTTTAGTGAGGGCATTTAATGGTTATATCATTTGTATGCATTTATTTATATATAGTAATTTCTTATTAAATATTGAATGTTTTGGGTCTCCATAATAAGCGACTTACATGATGCAGTTACCAGTAGCATCTTAGCTTTTGCTACGTTACCAATGTCAGCTAACCACAGCTAATAAGAGTGGTACTCCTGCTGTGAAAAACATGGATGAAATGTGACTGTGAGAAATTCCATCATACAATTTGCGTGCAAAGACGTGCTGCCAACTAGAGGCTGCTAAAAAGCCTCCTTTACTGATTGCACCTTTAATGTTGAGTGAGGATGCATGTGCGATTTACATTTAGCACACATGACTATACAAGTATGATAATACAGTGTTACAGTTGCAACCAGCCAGTGTGGGTGTTACGTAAAATGCAGTGTGCTCATTATGCCATGCTGATGTCATACCTATTTTTTACTTTTTATTTTCATTGCAATACCACATCAGACCGAATAATGCCATTACAAAGTGGTATTTTGCTCATGTAAAAATATAGATTTTCCATATGTACCACAGAGGGGGCATGTTTAGTTTGCCACACAGTAGTGCATCATGTAGACTTTTTGAGTAGGCTGTTGCTACTTCTGAGAGATAAATGTATAAAGAGGGACTGAGTCTATGAGTAATGAATGGATTTGCATGATTTTGAAAATAAAACTTTATTTATTAACTTGTGAACAGCAGAATATTCTTGCTTCAACATTTTGGAAGTCTGTCCCTGCTTTGTGGCTACTCTTCATATAGAACATACAGGCTCTGGACACAATGGCATACACATATGACTCACCACTGACAATGTCTCAATATGTCTCAATGGCTGTTGTCTTGGATTACATTTGAGGCTCATTATTTTATGCTTTATTTTGAAAAATAAAGCATAAAATGGATTTAAAAAGGGCATTTAAAAAAGAAAGAAAAAATAGCTGTTATTTAGAGTAATAATGTTTTAAAGGTGGAAAAGCTGTGTTCAATTTCAATTTTATTTATAAAGCCCAATATCACAAATCACAATTTGCCTCAGAGGGTTTTACAGCATACAACATCCCTCTGTCTTTAGGACCCTCACAGCGCAAATATGAATGCAAATAAAAATATGTTAAAAAATGTAGTAGGGCTGTCAGTGTTTAGGCATTAATTGCAATGCAGTTAAGGTCCGCACATATTTTTGTTGCTGTTGTTGTTTTATTGCATCAATCTGCTGCTTCCCTTCAATGCACCGACCCTGCTTCCTGCTGCCACAGTGATGGTAATAACTACACCACTGTGCTTTTGAATGGCCCATTTCACTTAAAAAAAACTCCCATATGGCTCAGTTGACAAGACAAGGTAGTATGCACTTTGTATTAAATATATTAAAATAATATGGAAGTACACTGCTCAAAAAAATTAAGGGAAGCCTTATTTTTCACAGTGTAATACCAAGTCAGTTAAACTTTAGAGATATCAATGTGTCCATTTAGGAAGCAAGTGATTGTGAATCAGTTTCACCTGCTTTGGTGATAATGAAAGTGACAACAGGTGCAATGAAGAGGCAAAAGCAAGACAACCCCCAAAAAGGGAATGGTTTTACATGTGGAGTCCACAGACAGTTGCTCTCTCCCTGTCCTTCCTGACTGATTCTGCTCTAGTTTTGTGTTCTGCTAGTGTCCTTGTCACTACTGGTAGCATGAGGGGGTACCTGCAGCCCAATCAGGTTGCAAAGGTAGTCCAGCTCCTCCAGGATGCCACATCTATACACGCGGGTTGCAAGAAAGTTTGCCGTTTGCGTTAGGTCATTTTGTTCTCAACAAATTATACAATGTACATCAGTTAAGATTTTGAATTTAAATAATTCATTCATCAAGATCTGATGTGTGATTTAAGTGTGTCCTTAATTTTTTTGAGCAGTGTACCATGAGTTTGAGCTACAAGCTGACCATACAGGTGCAGCTAATCAGACTGATGTTCCCTGGCAATCGCATCACCAAAGCCGGCAAAGCACTAATTTGGAAAACCCCACAGACCAGTGGATGAAACTAAATCGAAGAAATTAAATACAGCTCTTGCTAAATGGGAGGCACCTGACTGCAGATCAGTCAACATCGAGAAGACTTGGGTCTAAGCAACATCCTCAGGTTATGTCCATTTCAAACTTAAAAAACCTAACTGCCCTCATACTTCCATGCGCCCTTTATGTTGGTATAGATAAAGCCAATAGATGGCACTTGGAGGGCTGAGTCAAAAGTTTCACACAGCAACAAATGAGACGACAGTGAAGGAGGTTATGATAAAGGACATTTAAGCGGAGGCAGCACTGTAGACGGTGGTGGGCTGTATGGCCATTATTGACACATCTTGACATGTGGACAGAAATTTCTTTTTTATTTCTTTATAAATTTAAAAAATTAAGCATTTTACAGCCCTAACAATTAGTTTTTTCTAGTTAAAATTGGCAAAGCTACTCTCTGTATCTGTCAAATTCACTACAATATCTGTATTATTATACTTTATACTGAAAATGGCACAGGGTCAAAATAACTTGACTGCAATCAATGCAGACTTTAGCTCAGAGTTTGTCTGCACACAATTTTCAATAATTAATGATTTTATAATTGCCTATCTTAGCATTGTCTGGCAGGTGACCTGATGTCCTGTAGTCTGTTGTCCTGTAGATAAGCCACTATGTGGTCTCGTGGTGATCTCAGCCTGCACAGAAATGTTAACACGCCGTGATGAAATCCAGGTGCACTGATACACTGATGACTACTAAGGATTCAGGTGTGGCAAACTGGCAGAGTCAAATAATGGTCTCCCAATCTGAGAGAAGTCTGCTGCCTCATCCATTCTTTCTCAAAGTCTGACACAACTCAAAGAGAAGTAGTTAAGTTTAAAAACAATTACAACATTACCTCTTAGAGGAGCAGTGTATAAGATTTAGGGGGATTTAGTGGCATCAGCATTGAGGATTGCAGTCTGCAATCAGCTGAAACTTCTCCTGGTTAGAGTTCCTTGAGTTTTCATAGTTCAGGAGGGTTTTTTTTTTTTTTTACAGTGAGCCAAATTATCTGCAGAGGTCTCTGCTCCTCCAAAACAAACAAACCAGGAGATTTAAACTGGTAAAAACACTGAAAAACGTAGTTTCATGTTAGAAATCAGTGTTTTTCCTGCCCTGTTTGGCATGTCGGCGATGGGCCACAAGCCCAGCATCTGCTAGTGTGTGCTCACCATGGGCTCTAGTTTCCCAGCGCAGCGCAGGGTGGCGAACCCCGTGCAGAGCTAGTTTCGAGCAGCGCAACCCGAGGCGCGCTCAGTTTGGTAGTTTGGCAGACCGAGGTGCGCTGAGATGGGTGTGGTGGTGGAGCAGGGGGAGGTGTCGACAGATCCAGCTTGGCACAGTGACAGTTTCGTGCCAAAAGGCTTTGCCGAAGGTGCGCTAAAAGCTCGCCAACTGAAACCACGTCTACTGTCAGTGCAGGCGGAGCGCAGCCAGTGTAAGTGGAAGTTTGGCTGACGGGCGGACAGTGCGCACACGTCACCAAAACCTCACAGGCAGGTTTCCAGAATATCAGGCACATTAACGATGCAATAAATACCCAAAAAAACACTATTCAATGCAACTATCTGCAATCAGCACATAAATGTATCTCTATATCGACTGTCCCGTCACATCTGATGTCAGATCAAAGGATTGGCACCATTTGGCACCGTTTGGCACGTTTGGCACGCGTAATGGAAACCCAACCTGATTTGATTAACACAGCAAACTAATGAGTTCACATCCCTCTCAGCCAACCACAAACAGCCACAGCATCAGATAGGGAGTATATATTCAGCATCTGTCATCTTAGAAAAGTCAAAAGAAAAGAAACAGAGTGAGACTGCGAGAGAGAAAGAGAGAAAGAGAAAGAGAGCGCACACGAGAGAAACGCAACATTGATTTACAATTGTGGTGACCTCCTCCCAGGCTACCTTTGCATCATCAGCCCGTGGAGGTCTGCTCGCAGTTCCATATATTCGGACACTGCGAGCTTGGACCTCCCGGACCAAAACATCAGTTTCCTCCTGGGAGAAGTTTGGCCGTCTGACGCTGCTGCTCTCTTCTGCCATGGCGAATTGAGTAAACTCTTATTACGCCTTCGTGCAGCGCATTTAAGGGCGAGGAGAGGGGCTCATTTGATTGGTGTGATGTGTGTAAAACCCACTCCACGCCTTCTCTCCTCCCTCTTTCTGACTTGCGCAGGTAGGAGGGACGCAGGTGGGAAGGAGGAGTAGCTGCGCCAGGCGCAAGGTGTGCCAAACTTGCAAAATCCGCCTGGCCACACCCAGTTGGCGAAGCGCAGGTGCGCTGCACCTCCGCCTAGAGGTCCTTATGTTTGATTCAGACACTCAGGAGGTTTTTACCAGGAGCTGGTCTCCTCCTTTCCTAAACAAACAGACTTGGTATTTTAAACCAGTAAAAACAATGAAAAAAGTAGTGTCATGTGAAAAAATGTGAATGGCACTATCTAGAGCCAGTGTTTAGTTTGTCCATTCTGGGCTACTGTAGAAACATGGTGGTGAAACATTGCAATCTCTGTAGATAAGAACTCGCTCTCAAGGTAGATATAAACTGCTCATTCCAAGGAAATAAAAACACAACAATTATCATTTTCAACCCATTATACAATAACGTAAAACATGTTTCTTATATTATATACCATTCCTGCCAATATACCCCCTTAATCCTACACACTGGACTTTTAATGTGGATAAAACAGCAGCTCAATCTTCAATTAAGTCCTTTTAGACTTAAATATAGTGACATTAGAAACACTTAAAACAGCCACTGACAGGTGCTACGAAGTGTGTTTTGACTGTGAAGTACCTATCCAGGGGAAAAAAAAGATTATGATTATAGCTTTGACACTACGTAAACGCCAGCTGTGCAGTGCCATGCTGCCAGAGTAGGCAAGTTAGGCAGTGCCTACCCTGTCTCCCTTGTAAATCCCATTTTCTTAACCAATAATATATTACATGATATAGGTAAAGTTTTATTTGCAATATTACTGTTTATTCTGATGATTTGTATCTTATCATTTTTGTATTAATTAAATAGTTTAGACGTTATGATGAGAAACGTACCAGTTGCACATCACTGAGTATGAAAATAATCAGGAGAAAGGTGTGTTTAATCCCCTTTCACTGTGAATGCATACCAAAAAAAGCCTGTTGCATCTGTGCACTTCAATCCTATATCCTACAACATTAATGTCCAAAAGCAGCTCTTCTGCGCCTTTTTACGTAAATATTGTAGTGTAAAAGTTTGTGCCAACAGATCAAACAGTAAGGTTAAGATGTATAAATTGATTAAGAAACTCATATAATCATGTTTT